CTCTCTCTCTCTCTCTCTGTGCATGGCCCTCTCTCTGTCTGTGCATGGCGCTCTCCAAGAGTTTAGCCATTTGGCAAAAGCGAGGTATCCTGTAGAATTTGTTGGGGGGAGATCCCAAATGAGAGGGTGCCCTGAGTCTCTGAGTGCTTGCTGGAATCCCAAATTGATGAGTTCTTTCTTGGTCGGGAACACCCCAAGAAAGGTCAACTGCTGGAAATTTCAGCTGGGTGTGTATTAAAATGGGGAGGCCCCCAAGGAAGAAGACAAATAGACCAGTCTACCCTTGGTTGAGTGTCTCCCTATGAAAAAACACATCCAAATGAATACGAAACCAACTTGTCCTGGGGATCTCCCCTATTTTTCCCCTGAATGGGGTCGACCTGGTGGCCAGGATTCCCGGTAGCTAGAACAAGTGCTTTCTCTTTCCATCGACCCCACCCGCGCCAAACCGGAGGCCACATGCACCTGAAAACCGGAGGTGGAGTGTCCATTGAACCACCATCCCGGGGGCCACACGGATGAACGGCACCACTGCCGGATGAACCACTGCCACGCTGCACCTGCTGCTGTGCAATGTTTCGCCAAGTTGTGGCGGACGTCGAAGGGGTCTTCGATGTGCCTGCGGCGGCGAGGTGCCGAGCCCATGAGGGACGTGAGTCCATCACCAAGCCCCACTGACCCGCCACATTCCGCATCCAAAGAGTGCGAATCAGCCCGAGGATGTGAACCAATTGAAGGTGATCTCCAACGTTTCGTCCCAGAACCAATCGTGGTAGTGGAAGTGACCTCTTGGAAGACGGTTGTTTCTCTTCAAGGGTGCATAAGTAAGAAGTGAAGACATCCGAGTCCGAAAGCATCATCAACCTTTTTTGAAGGTGACACTGTCAACATAGATATTCTGAAACATATTGATGACATACTACATTCATCTACATGTCCGCTTTCCAGGCACCAAACCACTGTGACAACTCCTTCCCTCCAGTGTCCACTTCCCACTGGCGCTAGTTCATCCGTTTCATCTTCTCTATGCGTATAACTCTACTGGCGCTTTCCACTGGCGGCACCTTCTTTCCGACAAACAAACATATCATCACTGGTGGCATGTGCTGATGAGATGCGACAGCACTTGGCGGCACTTCTATCAAATGTCCCGTCGTACTTAAATGATCACCAACCTCTTGAAAGGGCGGGGGTTTCCAGAGTATCACAAACAAAAGTGCAAACAACAACTGCCACAAAACCAACATATATATATATGTATAACACAGTCGGGGTGGTAAATGGACACCCCTTAACATCTAAGGGGCTATCAATAGATGCCCCTTAGGGTGTCCTGGTATATAACAACCATTAACATCAGGAATATCAAGAATGTTCCATCTGCTTCCACACCACCTGCGTGCATCCTATAGCTTGGATCTATCCTAATACCTGTAACAGTGGATGATGATGGTTAGTAAAGGCCTTGTTCAAAAATAGTAGTATTTTTTACTGACTGTTACAGGTAATGGGACAAACCCAACCTATAGCTATAATCCGGACCACCTCGGGCATCTCGGGGTGCAAACGGTGTTCACTTCGTATTTCATGACTGGTCTTGGTGATTGCTGGTCTTCGGGATGTCTTCCCCATGCAGTCTTTGAGCTCGAAGATCGAAGAGCATCAATCGTCCATTCTTTTGGGTCTCCGGACCACTGCTCGGCATCCGCCACGCGCGGATGAAGACTAAACTTGTCCACGAAGCGGCCCGGGCCATTGAGTCCTCGTGCCAAAACCACCGACAAAACGTCGCGCACGTCTGGATGCTGAGGGCACTTCTGGATATTTCTGGCTCAGAATTGGTCCTTGGGTGGGGGGTTTACGCCCTTGGGAGTGGTCCGGTTGTGGGGTAGAGGGCGGCTGGAAAAGGGCAACAAGTCGAGGGGTGTAAGGCCACATGTTGAAGAGACCTTATAAGTGCAAGACATGTAAGACTATGTTCTAAGATTGTTCAAGTTCAGCGCGCGCTTAAGGAAAAACATCAAACAGTGTCAAGTAGAAGGAACAATGGTGAATAAGCCAACCTCCGCACTAAGTCCAGCACACACATGAGAGCACACATATAAGCAACCAATAACAAACCAATCAATGTGAACACACCTGTGAGAGTGCACAGATTGAACACAGGAGCGCACAAACATGAAGACATCAGAGGTCCACAGATTGCCGGCGCCCGCCCTCCGCATCTGCACTTCCGCCTTCACACAGCGACACGAACTCTGCATGTTGAGGTGCACCAAGTGCTGCACCTGCCACGAAACCTGCCCATGAAGACTCACATCACGCAGCTCTGTGAGGGCATTTCGCACCGAAAACACCTCCGAAGCCGGGTGGACTGCCCTGCACGGGTGGAGCCTGCATGCACCGGCTCCCATGTTGGTCCAAAGTTGGGCACATTTCCAGGGCACATGATGATTGATCCCTGGGGATCCAGTCGTACCTCCTCATGTTTGGCGATGTGTTCGACACTGTTGGTCTAGCCGTACCGAACTTGAGGAAGGTAGCTGGTACATGTAGCCCTAGGGAATGATTGTTACTGGTACTCACCCCAACCGTCCCAAGTACAATCCACAACGCCTGGATGTTGCGCGATGTATATGGCCGAGGCACTGATGCACACGGCATTCTCTGACCAATCGAAGACCCAGCCTAGCCCGTGGCGCAAACATGTGGGGAATGGACCAGGAATGGATGAATGAATCTTACCACCCAGCATATCCCTATGAATCTGGCCATCTCTACTTCTTAGGCTCTGATATGGCCCTTCTCCCCACGCTACTCGGAGCAGAGCGTGGTTGGTGATGCTGGCCATATACCGCTCCTCCTTCACCCACCCCAAGAAAACGGTACTGTGGATGTCCCCCTCAACCACTGAGGTTCTGTGAAAAAGAAATGCCCATGTCCCCCACTTGTGTCCAACCTTTGTCCTGTCTGTGTACATGAGATCGCGTTGATCAATAGATGTGGGACCAGTGGGGCAAAGCTCGTCAACAGTCAGTGACTCAAGGCTCGCTGGGGCAAGTGCACGAAACCCTGGAATCATCAGGGTTACTTGATTCCAGGACCATTCGTGACCTCAAATCCTGGATCTCATGTTCAGCCACTTTGAAGATTCAGGATTGTTTAAGGGCCCTGATGTCAAGATCCAGGTTTAACCGGTTTGCATCACATCCCCCCAAAAAAACAGACCTCTCGCTCCCCCGAAATCACATGCTCTCAGTCTCCCATCTGATGCTCACATCAAGCCAAGATGACTAGTGCCATATTTCACTGAGTTCATGAAACTCATATCCAAAGACCCCTGGGAAGTAGGAAAATAGACCAAAACCCATTGGTTGGGGGTCTCAGTTCCCCCATTGGAGGTCCGGTAGGAGCGCCGCAGGTCTGCCATGGCACCTGAAGCCTCGACGGGGTGCTGAAAACGAACGAACCCAAACCGACCTTGGATCGGTTTCTCCCAACATCGGTGGGTCAGAACCCCTGAACCCTGAGGTTTTCCGGGTAGTTCAGGTCACCTTCACGGAGTCGCGTCCGAAGTCTTTCAGGGCGATGGCGTCCGGAGCTTGTCGGTGGGGCCGCCACCGCCGGAAGCCACGGGAAGCCACTTAGAGTCATGACTGACTCGACCGGATTTCCCTGGGTTCCAGCGGGGTTATGTCTCCAGCGGGGTGGGGATCAAATTGATCAAATCAGTGTTTAGGCAGCCGCCACGTGGGCTGGATCATCTGCCACTCCCCTGAACACCAAGCAGCCATAGTAGTTGAAGAATCCAATGAGCAGCTCCGCGTCGCCTGATCTATTGGGTGGGTCTCTTGGAAAAAGGCAACAGAATCAACTCAACCCTATTGTCCCGTATATATTTATATAACATCTAAATACCTATATCCGTGTGAGTGTGTGTCCATGGTTGAGAAAAACATATTCCGTGGCCTGAAGGTTTGAGCTTGAGCTTTCCTGCCCAAGGTCCTCGGTTCCCGTCATTTTTTTCCACGGAATCAAAGCCCGCCGTTTGCTCAAGTTGGGTCATGCCCGGTGCAGTTTCATCTGGTCGAGCCCGACCAAAGTGTTCAGAGCTTTTGCAGTGATCTCCAGCGTTTTGGGGAAAGCCGCATTAATTCAATGGTTTACTATATGTTTTTGCTGTATTCCTCTCAGGACTTCCATGTGGGTTGCCCCGGCAACCCTGGTTCCGATCGAATTTGTTTGTGACAGCAAGGCTTGATGCACGCAAATCCCGGCCACGTTTGCCTACCCTGGAGTGGTTTCATATGTCTGCTATACGCATGTATATAAATGTATAAGCATACTATATAGCATCATATGGCACTAGGTTAGAGGATTGACCCCTTTGTTGGGGGGAGTGGAAAGGGACGCACAAACGCTCACCCTGCGGCCAGACATAGAGAGCTAAACGCTCTGATCTTCGTTCCTCCACCACGCCGCCGTTGGCACCGAGACGCTCGTGTCGTTGGCCGATGGGTTGCGCCTGAGCTCGTCGACCTGGTGCGAGTGCAAGCTCACGAAGTCGAAGCAGCCGTTAAGTCGGTTTCCCAAAGGCATGGTGATACATGATCGGCCATGGCCTACATCGTCGTAGTAGATAAAACAAGCACATGTCTATTACATCCTAGCCCTCCAACTACGGCCTCCCGAGGTTGCATTGCCCCCAGAGGTCTCGAGTGCTGGTCTATGTCTATTGATGTATTATCGAAGTCCCAAATGACATCCGTCATGTTTGCACCACCCAAGGATCCCAAGACGTACCCGAGGTCCCATGGTCCTTCAACTCGGACACATGGTCTTTCAACTCAGCTGAGAGGTCGCTCGGTCGACCCTCACCTCCGGTCGACGGTGTCCCAAGTGACCAACACATCGGAGAGGACATCAGAAAGTCGATACGTCCGAGTCAAGTCACTGGTCAAGTCCCCTAAACCCATGACGTCCTTTTGGGAACAGAGGGGTCGGTTTAGTACGTACCATGTATGAGCCCTGTTGTTTGATGTGATGTTGTACACCTGGAGCGGCCCCCCCTTCCTCTATATTAATCATGTTGAATCCAAGCATTAATCCAACCAACCAAAGCCTTAAAGGGACATAAATATGCCCTTTCCTCGGCGTCCTGCGGACCCGCCTTGTCGAAGAAGCGGGTCTCACAAATATTCTCCATCTCGGTAGCGCTTCGAAATCAAGATCGGTGCTCTGCAGGGAAAAGAGAACCATTGACAGCACAGCAATGTGCGGACAATCCATGCTCCCGCTCCAACTTGCTCCCTTCCAAGTAGGTGGGGTGCCAAGAGAAAAATTGCGATGCACCCAAAAGAACCATTGACACCAAGATGTGGATAGATCTCGATGTGGTTAGTTTATGATAGTGTGACTTTGGCAAGCAACATGGAGGAAAAAAGACGCATCCCAACAAGCCCTCATCTCCGGTGTCCAAAAGTGGACGGCAAACCACCAGGTGCAATCCCTGCAAAGACAAGGAGATGGAGACACTACAGACTATGATCCAACAGATTTCGTTCATTGCCGTGTTCATGGAAAGATCTGGACGCCCAGCTGCCTGGCTGGGAACTTCGAAGTGAAGCTGCCAGGCGAGCCATCGAGCCGAGCCCAATTAGGGGGGAACCTTCCCACCACTCCCCAGCCCGGCTGCCTGACTCCTCCCTAAGCCGAAATCCCCCTCTGTCATTGGGCCCTTGTTGACTGCCCCAGTCGAAGGTCGAATCCAACCGACGGGCTCTTTGGGATCCGATGAACCGATGAAGTCTGATGAAGCATCATGAAGCAATTGATGTCTTTTTGGCCATCTCTGAATTAAAGTACTTATACCAGCACCCTCCCACAGGTCTCTGGAGGATTATTGGGCCTATATAAGAGGTCTCAATTGGTGACCTGTGAAGTCGGGTGCTGGTATAGATCTTATGAGGTTTAAACTCCCTAGGCCCATCATGATGTTATGAGTGCATCTCCCAGTGCCTGAGGAGCTGGAGTTCTCCAACAGTCTACGGGGGGTGTCCCATCATGTCCCAGCTTTGGATGGGATGTGGGACACAGGAACACCGTCCTCGACCGGAGGTGCCTTCCGTTCCCCTCCGGGCACAGGACCGGCCGGTGAAACGCCTCTGGCTGACCCATCATGCGCATCATGCTGTTGATGAGAAGGAGTTCTACTCGGTACCAAACGCTCCTCTAGCAGGTATCATAGATTCAATGAAATCACGGAACATCTACAGGAAGTCCTTGTTTTCACCCCCCAAAACTATGGCGTCCTGTGGGATTTCCTGTATATATATATATATATGATATGTGCGTGTGTGTGTGTGACCTCAGCCTCTTGCTGTGCAGGATCACAGTGTTCGAGGTTCCACATGCACCGTGCAAATGCAGCTCAAAATGAAGCTGGGCCCAACCTTCCCTCACACCTCTCTGAAATATCTCTCTGGCTGCTTAAACCCAGATTCAGCTGTCAAAAACCATGATTACAAGCCCAAGCCAACAACACTCCGAGAACCACCTGTCTGACGCCCTGACGCCCTGACACCCTCCGGACCTCCCTTTGGGCTTCTTGGGAGTTCTTAGCACCCGCGCCCCACCGCAACCGCGCCGCCCCGGTCGTTCGATCGGACCAAACCGAGGAACGCCCCACTTCAGATCGCTCACAGGGTGCGAGTCCGTCTCCCTTGGGTGGGCGAAAAGCGTGGTGGTTTTCACGTCGTCGTGGGTGTGGATCGGGCGGTGTTAGGAAGGAAGGTGGTGGTTTGGACATCAGTGGTGATGGTTTTGGTGGTTTGGGTGGTGGTGTTGATGTGGTTGTGGTGCGATCCAGGGTGGTTTCTTTGAAAGTGATGGCCGACCTGGATCGCACTATGCGTGCGAGAAGTTCGTTTTGCAGCATGATGGCGAGCGGCTTAGCATCGCATGGGACCAGTCCGTTGGGCTTATGGGCTGAACCTCGCTCCAACCACTGGGCTTCAGAAAACAACACCTTTGATCTTTGGATATGTTATCACTAATTATTTCATCCATTCACCGACCTTTGAACCCGACCATTCTTACGTCGCCTGCCAGTGCCCAACCACCCGTGCCACGACTGGGAACGGCTCGGCATAGATGGCAATAGGGTTCGTTGGGTCGGGACTCACCATGCGCATCGGTTGTGTTTGCCGCATCGGTTCCTTTCAAGTTCGTGTTTGATTTCGGGTTGATTGTTTGATTTGGGGCTTAAGTTAGGATGCACAGGCCCTGTCTTGGGGGTGGCTCCCACTGCCCCTGTGTCTGAGACTAGATGCCCAAGGCCGGCTGTCCATGAAGTAGGCAACACTTGCACCCCTTCAGGAGACAAGAATCATTGACCGCTTTTTGGTCGATTTTAGGTGGTGCAACTCTTGGGTGTCCAGTGACCACATGCCCCGGGCCAGCCGTCGCATGAAGGGGGTGTGCTTCCCCCCCGCCTGTCAGGGCTTTGGCATGTCAATTGGCTGGTTTCTCCTACAGTCCTCGCGCGTTCCGATCAACGAATAATTTGAAGCAACGTGATGCTGATGATGGCGATGGTGGTTAGTGAAAATGATGATGAGGATAAGAACCATTAAGAAACTATGACAAGGATGGATGGATGGATGTAAATAAGGCAGTGTAGCTGGCTTTCTACAGTAGATACTTCTAAGCCTCACGTTGCGAGCATCATTTTGCACAGTGCTGCTTCAGCCCTGCAGCACTTGAAGCATCTGAAGGATGCGGTTGTGAGTTTCAGTTTTCTAATCTAAGCCTCTATCTGAAAATAATAAATCTCTAAGAATAAACATTGAGTCATTGAACATCACACTGTCACCAGCACCACCAACACCATGCTCCTCCTCTTCCTCCTCCTCCTCATCATTGTCATCGACATCATCGTCGTCATTGTGACCATCAGCACCACCACCATCATCATCACGATCATCACTATCATCTTCATGGTCACCCCCACTACCCATCTCCCCTACCACCAGCCACCACTACTACCACAGCATCATAATGACCAGCGCGACCATCATTATTATCATGCTCATCACTATTACTATCATCCCTACCATCAGCACTCCATGCTGGAAAAAAAGGGAAAAAGGGAACAACTAGAAGGCTAAGTATATGCATACATACCAGGACCCTCCTGTCGGGGTGTCTATTTATAGCCCCAGAAAGCTGTGATTCGGGGTGTGATGTCCATTCACCACCCCGACTGCGGGGTCCTGGTATATAATACTGTATATATAAATATATCCCAGTGGATCCCAGTTACCGCTATATAAGGAACCAGGAATTCTAGGTCTATGGCTTGTGGTTACCAGCTATATTGCCTGGATGCCCTGGGTATGCCGGGCATGTGGTCAACCCCAAAAGGTCCAAGGCTTTGAACAGGACTCACCGATGGATGACATGGCCCGATGACATGGCTCATTCCGGTCTACCACACAGCTGGTGAACTCACAGCTGGTGAACCCATGTGAGTGACTCGGAGTATTACCTGTGACTGAGCATCTCCTGAGTATACTCAGAGTGAACAAATATCCTGCTTCCATGTCTCAGGAGTATACAAGAATACGCCTTCCACTAAGGACATGATTGATTTATAACCCCTAGAGAGAGAGAGAGAGAGGGGGGAGAGAGGGGGAGAGAGAGGGTTTTAACATGTTTTAACCAACAGTGAACGTCGGAACACATTGGGACCCTTAGGAGGCCCATTTTTGGATCACCTTTGAATCTGCTGTTTCCAACTACTATTTCTAACCACACTTCCACTGAGGTTTTCTGTGGGCAGGTGTCCCCATGAAGTCGAACCTCGGATCTCTAGAAATGCCAAACCAGGTAAATCTATAAAATGGGCTGACCAACCTTAAACAATCACATTCCGGCAAGTGGCTCTATGACACGACCAAACCAAGCTCCGTGACATATAAAGCTGGAGTTGAATGGTCGAAATGCCAACAAAATGACACAAGTTAGAACATCAAATCATTTGGCATACCCAAAACCACGGCCAATGGGACTGCCATATAAATATATGGCCGTCCCATTAGACCCCCCAGTCAACCACCACGCCAACTGATCGGCAGTCCATGGCAGTCGGTCGCTGCCCCCCCCCCGGAGCCGAAACGGGTCCACGGCTCCGGAGACGGTCCGTCGCCACGTCTCCACCGTGGGACATGGGGGAATCAACACAGAGATTGAGATCATAAAGGATATTGTGGAACTCTAGAAAACCAAACAAACACCAAAAACACAAAACCAACTGTCGACAAGTTGTTTCGTTCCTTTCACTTTCGATTCCCAACATCTATGATAATCTATGTGTTTTGAGACAAAATTGAAGACAAACAAGGAATAAACTGCAATGTTAAATGTGCTTTCACTTCACTATGTTGAAGCCGCTCCAAAGGAGTTTCTCTGCAAAATGAAATTCCACATGTCTTACCTTCTATGAGCTAGGATGACCTACAGTAATTGCTTGAACATGACCGACCATCTGTCAAATGCAAGTTCAGGCTTTGGCCTCTTTAAACCTTAAGGTCAAGCCGTCGCTCCCTCCCCATTTGCAGTTCATTGGTCCTGACCGAAGCCGCTCCTTGTTCGGTCCAGTTCCAAAGCAAAGCCCCAAAGAGTCTCCGGATCCCAGTTCCGGACGCCCCAACACACGACGCACGATGTGTCGTGTGTTAACACAGATCCAGGGCCTTCCAAAGCGGAAAACATCAGCAACTTGGGTATCTTGGGTATATCCCATCAGCAAGATGATGATGATAGATTCGATCCAGGGTCTGGAACCCCCAAAGGAATGATCCAGGGCCATGCTACCGACGGCTTAAGATCGGGTTGACGGCGCTTTTTCCACCCTCATCCCAACACAGAAAGGTCCCAGTTTTCGGTGGAGGCGCCATTCGGGCCAATCCTGCTGGAGGTTCGGCACCACGGGAGGCTGCAGGGACCTTCCGAGATGCTTTGGGGGGATGCAATGGGGAGGCATTCGGGCGAAGGGAGGCTATATAAAAGATGGGTGGCCTCAAATGTTTTGGCCTCCAAATGCTGTGTTCAGAACCCGGAGAGAAATAACTGTGTTCAGCGGACGCGTCCGTAGGGAATACGAGAAATCACCGCTTGGGGTCGATTTGGCTTTGTTCCTAGGTGTGGTCGTTCGAGCCTTGGCAACCTCTGACGTGTTTTGCATGGCAAGTTCTGACCTTACATATGGCCACCTCCCTGACAGGAGATGGCCCAGCACTCACTGCTTGCCGAGTTCATGAACATCACCCTGGACCCTCGTCACTCGTCACTCGCCACTCGAGTCTTGAGACGTCGTTCTTCGGGGATCGAGGCTGAGTTCCGGGGCCTGGGCTCAATGATGGTCCACCAACAGAGGTCGCCAGTGACGACCCGGACCCGGAACACCTAGGGGTACCGGTTCCTGGGATAGCCGAAGAGTCGGGTTCTGACCCACCTGTGTTGGCATATGGTGAACCATCAGGTGCACCACCCCGAAAAAGTGTTCGGACGCTACACCCAATGGTCCGCTCTCTGGACCAAATCAAGGTCCGGTGGTGCCCGGTGGCCGCATGGGGGGGCACCATTAAAGGACCTGAAAGACCTTCCAAAGGCAACTCACTTCAAGGTCTCTCCCAGTCTTTGGTTCTGAAGAAGTTTGGAGGCGAGGCGACGCGCGAAAAATACCAGATGTCCCTGTCCCTGTCCCTATAGAAGCCGGCCTCTAAACTTCCCTCACCCCAAAAAGACCTCTCATGATTCCCACTGACTGAGCTCTCGCACTGGATGGGAATACTCTCTCGTCTCTCATGGTCCGGGACTCTTCTCTACCAAACACGAGCGAAGAACGGTCGGTCGGTAGAGTCGCTCAGCGTACCGAGCGTATGAAGAGTAGCTCATCGCCCTTCCATTTGGGGCACTTAATCCGACAGGCCGCTGCAAATAGTGGATCACCATCAGCATATACCTTATGGAATCCAAGCTCCAAGCTCTCTTTTCCCCCCTCTTGGGTGGGTGGCGGAAAACGACCAAGGCCCCCAATAAAAACAGGGGGATGAAAGGAAACATGGCCATGAAAGCAACAAACACAAGTATCCATGCTATACCAATTGTGGTATACAATCTATCTGAATGGTATGATTCATGATTCAGTGCCAGTTCCTAGTGACTAGTGATGCGGATTGGGGTACGTGTATATAGAGCTATACCCAACAGCTGAAGAGGACTTAGGACCTCTTGTCAGCCCCCCCTCCAACTTCCACCGAAGCAATCATGAATCAACTACCCGAGCTATCCGCGCAACTTCTCAATCCTAGCTTCACATACACAAAACGCTTCTATGATCAAGGTCACCCAGAAGTTGCCCAGAAGTGGAGATATCATCGATTATCATCGCCTTTCTTGCTTCACCAAATCACCAAAGTCACTGAAGTCTTGGAAAGTATTGGAAAGTAGTTTTTAGTTACTATCTGTTGTTTATAATAGTCCAAAATAGTCTAAACATGTCTAAACTCAATGGACCATGATGGCCTAGGAGTTTCAATTGCGTGCCGGTCTCGGGGAGGGCCTTTCGGAGCCTATTCTCCATGTCACTGGGGTCCTCCGTCGGGGTGTGAAAAATGGAACTCCCTGCGGCTTCAATCGCGATCCGGTCTCAAATGCTGGACAAGTAAACGTTTGGTGCTTTTAGCTCCGATACAAAAAATGAGTCTGAGTCTGGGCTCAATCAACCCAATTGACGGTTGAACATCAACATGTCCGCCACCGTGACCACGGTTGAAGAATCTCAATTCAAGACATCCAATCCAGTGGATGGCACGGCCCCGCGACGAGCGATGAAGTTCCTCATAGACTCATAGATCCCAAACACTCCATGCAACTGCCATAGGACTGCCGATCCATTGACCCCAGGTCAACCACCCCGATCGGCAGTCCTACGGCAGTCCCATGGGTCGTGTTCCTGGGGATTGCTGGAAGGGCGGGGGCAACCCAGCAACATCTCTTCGCGACCACATCTCCCAGCAGCCAGCAGCCAGCTGCGAATTCCAGGTGCTGAATGATGCGGTCAAGGTTCGCTGTTTGAGGTCGCAACCGAGTAATCCCCACTTCCTTTGCCATGAACCTATACTTCCTAAATTTTCCTTTTGGGGGGTAGATATCCGAAGTGGTCTCACCTCACCAGGATGCCGGTGGCAAACGGGCCAAATCCCAAGGATCCCAATGTCATCGTGTTGATCACGGCTACGGGGCGTTCTGGAGCAGGCAGCGCGACCGACTTCTTCGATTTGCTTCAGGAACCAGGAAGATAACAAATCGTCTTAATAAAAAAACTGGAGCTTCTTCCATGTTCTTTCTACAGAGCCACTCACTTAGAAGCCTCCATTCCTGGCTCTCCAAATGTTGGACTCCTTTCCACCTGATCATGCTGTCCCAGATGCGCATAGCTATTCAAACATCCATCTGGCACGCTCACCAACTCGTGGCACTTGGCCCAATCTTTCCTTGCGACGAAAGTGCGCAGTTCGGTGGAGCCGTGTCAGCTAGGCTACTAGAATCTACTAGTCTAATCTAGTCTATAGTAGTAATTACTAGACGCGTCCACCTTGACTCTACTACACCCTGACTGCCTGCTGTCCCCTACTCGTCACCCAAGGACAAGGTCATCACCCCGATGAATTTCGAAGAGAACCAGGTGCTCCACATCAGGCCGCGTGGCCACGTGCGGACAACACCAGTGGCGCCACACGCAAGGTCCCCCGAACTCCAATGATCTGTGGGTCATGTCGCTGGTGTCCGCCACTCGAATTCCGCGGTGTGAAGCGAGCCTCGCCGCATGAACCTCCCAATTGACCCAGCACCGGCGACGCCGCCGTTCCAAAAAGAAACAACCGCTGCATCCAAGGTACACCAAGCGGCCCAACCTGGGAATCAGTGTTCCAAACCAATCTATCTATTACTATCTATTATCATGTTAAATACCGTATACCTGCATACTCCAGGACATGCAAAACAATTTCCTGCTGATTCAACAAATATTGCTATTTGAGCATTGCAAAAAACTTATTCCTTGACCGGAGCTGACCGGAGTATAGATTGACATATCGTTTGACATGATATTCTTACATCCCTAGGCCTCCAGTCGCACTTTCGTTTCGAAGGAGGGACTGGGGCGTGGGTGCCAGGAGGGTCCAGTCATACCGAACCTGAAGAGGTACGACTGGAGGCCTAGGGCCTCTTCCTTGGAAAAGACTTTCAAACACCGGACCGGTCCGAAGCGATGTCACCTGGATATAGATGCCCATTTGTCATAGAATCATCCCCAAGTGGGTATGAATTCATGTCATGGATGGAATCAATGGTAGTTCAATTCCATCTTGTGTGAATCATTGACATGATCCGATTCACACGTTCGATCCTCGTTCGTAAACCTGGTTCCCCAGGAACTCGTCTTGGCACACCGCAAGGGCGCTGACAAAGCCGCATGTGGATGTGACACCGCATGAGGGCGCGAGATCCTTCGAGATCATTCGACACGGGCCGCCCAGCGGCAGTGGTGCAAACAGTACCCAAACACTCCATGGGACTGGCATATTCAATTACATACATTGGGGTGGTTGACCTGGGGTCAATGTAGGCATATATACCATACATGGAGCGTCTCGGGTATGAAACAAACAGTCGCCAACAGTCGAAGGATGTTGATTCGGCAAGCCTCTGTGAATAGAGACTCCACACAAAAAGGTGTATGGGTACCTCACCTCAAAATCATCCCCAAGCGTCTTCGTCGCCATCTCCCCCAAACCCTGCCGCAACAACCTCAAGCGCCCACCATCACCCGCGCTGCCCAAACCCTCCCCGTTCGCACGACGCTTCGCGCCGGCCGGGCGGCACGGGCACCCGGGGATCGCAGCGGCAGTAGGTGTCCAGCAGGTGGCTGTTTCGAATGCCCAGGTCCTCAGGCGCGGGTGGGTCGAGAGACGGTCCGAAGAGAGGATCTGGCCAGGGGAGGTGCAAACGAACCCCCTGGCAAAGATGTTGAGTAGCGTCCCGTGGTTCATTGGTTCGTGCTTAGTTTCTTTGCTTCGGCCTGAAGCGTTTGTGACAGTGAGATGGTTGCTTGGAGAGAAGAGCGGACAAGATATTTACTTGACACCTGTTCTTCATGCTACTTCATGGAGCCAAAAACAAGTTCAAAAAAAACGGCAGCTGTTTACCACCTATGCATTGCCAAATAAGGAGAACCTAGGAGAGCACGATGAGTACATCTATCGAGGATTATCGATGCAAAAAATTAGGGAGTCCTTCCACCAGAAATGCATCCCGGCAAACTAACACAATTGAACAAACCATTTTCCTCTACAACCCAGTGGTTTTGGGGTTCCATGTGGTCCTCTGCAGGGGCGTATATTAAATCAAGCCCAGTCTCATTCTTGATGAGAAAATCCACTTCCAGTTGTCCGTCCGGATCGAAGAACTTGAGCAATGGCGTGCTGGACCTCACCCGTGCCGTGCTGGACCTCTGAAAAAGCACCCAATGGGCCGCATCCAAACTCATCAGGACGCCCTGAAAATCCCCGAAACCATCGAAAACGGTTCTCACACATGTTCTCACAAATGTTCTCACCATCATCGAAGGAGCAAAACTACTGGATGTCTAGGTGGTTGGAGAACCCAACCTTGAAAGATGTTCATGGAGCAAAGAATCATAAAGAATCTTTTTTTGCCGTAGATACCCAAACCATCCCAGGCCCATCTGACCTGACCTAACTGTTTTGAGAGGAAAAGGATGTATATATACAGTAATTAGGGTGGTTGGAAGTCCAAGAAATATGGGTCAGTGGGGTCACTCAGCTTCTAGAAGTAGTTAGATTTTTCATCTCTGTGGATATAGGGGGGTGGCTCTTGACAGTGATTTTATTCAGATATGACATGGTGGTGGTCACCCCCTAGGGAGTACAAAGTGAGCAGGCCTACCCCAGATAGGTCTCTATAAAATCATTCAACCTCAGGCCACCATGTGCCTGAGCAGTGACCAGAAAACACATAAAACAACTCCACGTAACGCGTACGTTTCTTGGATACAAGCAGCTTTCCTCTATAAAATCATCGAACCCCAAACGTTTTATGGGATACCATTACCCAGGTGATTCTATAGAGGATAACCATGATGCTTTTTCAGCCTCGATCGAAATGGCAGCCGAACATCCAAGCCTTGCAACACATGTTAAGATGCATCTTTCGAGCGCCATTGCAGCCGAGGCACGAAAAAACCTTGGTGATATCCTGGAAACCCAGATCCTGGCCACAGGAATGAACATTTCCAGCCTCAAAAAGCCACCTCCCAACACATCCCATGCACAGCACCTACTCTTAAGACCAATGATTGGAGTTGGCGATTGGTCTACGGCTGATGGATTCGCCACTGCAACCAACAATTCATTTAACCATTTGGCTACTTCCCCTCTCTGCCTCTCTCCCTCTCTCTCGCAGCTAGGGTTTGACCTCCATGCTGCTCAAACTTCCCAGCGCTACTGCCCATCGGCTGGGTTCAGCTGGGGGTTGGCCCCGAAACGGTAGCTCAGTTCGGCCGGTTCCGGTGCTCTTAGCTCTGGTCTCAGGGAGGTGACACATCACACACATGCCTTTCCCTCTGCGATGTTTTGAGTCATGTGCGCTTCCATTAGTCGTTGCAACTGAAACATGCGTGCGCGCGCAGCACGAAGAGGTGCCTATATCACTTCATATCACTTCGCACACCGGCGCAACTCCACCGTCACCGTCCCGATCCACCATCCCCCGTATTGCCATCAGGTTCTGTGGGGAGGAGTTTCATCGGCACGTCTTCCGAAGTCCATCGGTCTATTCCTAGGGATCCTCACATACCCTCCAAGAAGGTGACGTGTTCGACACTGTTGTGTAGGTGCCAGGAGATTCCAGCCGTACCGAACCTCAGAAGGCACGACTGGATCCCTAGGGCGGGCAACATCAGCCCCTTTCACCAAAATAGGTTGACCTCCCAGGTGGATCCATGAGGCGTCTATTCTCTTAACCTCATGATGGTCCACCAGGGTGTCCCGCGACCCACATGCACCATGAAAACGTCAGGCCTTGAGGGGATTCACCATGCTGGCCAAGTAACTGACCTGCCCAGTTGGACCTGCAGGCGTCGTGCCCATGCTGTTTCTAGTAGCTGCAGGTGACGGCTGGCGCGACTCTTCGTTTGAAAGGCTCTGAATGGCTCTGAGAGATGCCGTGATAACGGTGTGTCGCATGCTTGCGCGAAACGGCTCTGAGATAAAGGCTCTGAGTAGAATCATGATTCCTTCATTTACTTCTGCATGAAGGCTAGGGCGGCTAGGGTCAGAGTGACGTTCTGAAAGCATAATCAGCCAGTCTATAAGTGAAAGAAAAGTGAGTGTTCTTCGATAAATGCCCGAGGTAGAGGGCCATCATTCGTTGCCGTTGGAACCTAAAAAACGTTGAAAAACACATCAATTGAGAACAGCTGTCAGCAGTGGTCTGTTGAAGGGGGTGCCCCTTTTGAGACAAGTTTGGTACAAGGTCACCGCACCATCCAGTGAGATGAATGGAGCTGAATGAGAAAGGTTTCTAATCCCTAGGGCTCCAAGTGCCTTCTAAGAAGGTGTTTGAGGTGGGTTTGGAGGTCCAAATACCTTCTGAGGAGGTACTTGGAGCCCTAGGAATATCACAGCTCAGCTGTATAATTGTCAAGCAAGGGGGCATTGTTCAGGGAATGTGCTCCCACATCTTCTTCGGGGCACGTGCTTGCAAACTCCCAGGGTCAGTTGGTGCCATGGTGAGTGCCTTGGTATCCTCCGTCAGCCTCCGTCATCCGGGCTATATCGACACAAGGAATGGGCTCATACATGCTCATACATGCTCATACAATCAACACGACATGCTCTCTCACCATGCAACACATGCGAAACACACCATGCAACACCAACACCCGACTTGTATCAACACCTCCAGTTCCTCCAGTCCGTGCGACCACGGAACCCGCCAGGAACAACCATGACCCTCATGTTCAACGCACGCCTCCCAGCTGGTCGTTGCCAACCACGACTCCCAGCGGAAGCAAAGCAGTCAAGCAAACTCGTGGACCAAGCATCCGACCGATCCGACCGATCCGACCTGACCACTGTGCTACGGGGTGACCTTCGGGGTGACCTTCATGTCATGTTCATGTCGACATTGTCATTCACTGCTTCACTGCCTATGAAAGGCCGTGACGGACAGGGACCGCAAGTCGCGCTATTTTTTTCCATTGTTGGGGGGGTTCCCACGTGATCCTCACCGCCAACAGCTCCCCTGGCCGGTGCCTGAATGTGTGCGAACATCGGGTCCATATTGGGGTTTAAAGTATATCCCTTTCCCAGTCATAATGGAGGATGATGATGATGATGATGATGATGATGATGATGATGATGATGATGATTGGTAGTAAAGACATGTAAAGACCGTTCCCTAAAATAGTGATGATATTGTTCCGACTGTTACTGGCAATGGGATGCACTCTAGATCCGCAGACTAGCCTGGGCAGGTCTTGATTCCTTTCACCAGTCGAAAAAGGTACGCCAAGAGGCTTGGATCTTTGATCGTCCCAGTGTACCTTGGCACTCGCAGCTGTGGGGTCCAATACGGCATCAAGATTCAAGAAAAAGCCCTCCAAAAGAGCAAAGACATGAAAAGACCAACAGCAACCCGGCTTAGACTCTATGTGAAGCACCATGTGAACAACGATCAACCTGTCGGACCTGTCAATGAACTTTCTTGACCGACTCGTGTGTTTTCCGTCGACACCTGGACGGCTGGACGTCCGAGCCGGGGAGGTCGGAACTGGCCGGGGAGGTCGGAACTGAGGAGTCTTGCGGAATCCAATCCATGGTAGGCGAATGTTGACGGTTGCATGAAGCCAAACTCGCAAAAAAAAAGGACCTGCATGGCTACAGAATAGTACAAATCCGGCTGCCCTTCTGGGAATATAAGGGAATGGACTCCAGACTTGAGGGAATGGACCTCGACTCCATCGACTCCTTGCGCTTCCGCTTCAGCACCAGGGCACGCCAGGTCGAGATCCGACCCAGAACTCTTCAAGGGCGTGGCGCAAGAACCAAAGGTCTTCACTGCCTGGGGGCGCCGAAGGTCACGCGTGGCGCCAGTCACGCGGTGACCGCGTGACTGGCACGAAAAAGTGGGGAGTTTCAGCAGAGATGGTGGAGCCCTCCATCTGGTGAGTATGTGTGGGGTTGGGGTGAGTGCCCGGAAAAGGAGGTATTTTTCACATGATGTCGAACCATAGCGTGTCGAAGCTCAAACCGAATGGGGACAAAGGGTCAAACAAGTCCGGCATGTCTATGCATGTCTTCTCAAGTGAGATGTTTTGATGTGTCTGGATGTCTCTTCTTCATGGTTTATTCACAATCCCTGCCCGTGCTCAGGAACGTCCCCTTGACCTTTCGACCCTTATACCCAAAAGCTTCACAGGTCGTATTTCCATCCTTCTTTCTGAGCCAAAATCTTCCCAATTTATCAACACCGCCGTGCCACGTGCTCAGTCATCTAGCGACTCCTTTCCATGTGACCCCAGCCCTGCGAGAAGTGAGCCGCTTTTCTTTTGGATTTGTGGAAAGCAAAACGGCACCACACCGCCTCCGCTGAGGAGAACAAACCAAGTGGCGCCGTCCAATTTGGCTGCCGTCACTGCTGCCTACGAAAGACAAAACAAATCGATTCCGGCAACCGTATAGCACCATGGCAGGAGAACCGGCATGGACTACACACCTCTCCATTGGGCTTTAGCCCGACCGTGCGACCGTGACCGTTATTCACAAAAAGGCTGAGTTTCCATCTTTGGCAGAGAAAACTGTCATGCAACATTTATCATCAGCCTCTAATCTTTAGTTAGTGTTTGGCGTCATACGCCTTTTAATTTAACATCTTGCAGCTCAAATGTTGAGCCATGACGAGGAAAAGCACCTTGCAACAGTGAAGCGGGCCTCGAAAGGGTACAGGAAAGGGTGCAGGAAGGGGTATGTGAAAGGAGCCGAGGCGTCGAAAGGAGCCGCGCAAAGAGCAACGGCCAAGAGTGGACATACCACAAACTAAGTATACGATTGCAAAAAACGATCAAACCATTGAGGAGGAAAGGCCACGAGTTTTGGCATGAGTTACTACTGTATGTTCATTTATCTTAGTTGCGTCCTTCATTCCTTCCTTCCTCCCTCCCTTCCTCCCTTCCTTGTTCTTCCTTGTTCTTCCTTCCTCAACTTAAGCTATAGCGACCAACAACAAATTTATCTCCTAGCTATGATGTGTTCCCGCACAGTTTCAAACAGAAGATCGCCTACATTTGCCTACTTTCTAAGTCAGTGATCTTGACTCTTGACTTAATAATATGTGTCTTTCCACATCATCTAAATCTAAATCTGCTCCGCTTGGAAGGGCCTCGACACTTCCAGGTGGAGCAAAAACTAAGATCGAACGCCACGCCATCCGTGGTGTGTTCCTTTGGTACACAGGTTTCCTCGATGCGAGTTCTACTTGTGTGCCAGAGCATCGTTCTTCCGGTCTTGATGTGCCCCCCCACCCGGTCAACCGGGGCCTAGACCGAGTGGGACCGATGTGGGACTGACCGAGTCCGCAAACCGCCAATAGCCTACCCTAGGGCTCCAAGTACGTACCGTATCGTTTCGAAGGTGGGACTGGGGTGGGTGCCAGGAGGGTCCAGTCATACCTTCTGGGGAGGTACTTGGAGGTGTAGGGAAATAGCCTAGGATAGGTCGGACCCCATCGAGCATGCAGGTTTGCAGGGCTGGCTGCGACACAGGTCCACTTGTTACCGTCGGCAAGCGTTGTTGGGGACATCAAGCGTGCCATAGTTCGGCACGCCAGTAGTCAGGGCACGAATTAGATACGTTAAATGGTGGTTGTACAAGTTGCTTCCATGGACACAAACGTGTTGGGCATCAGTCGGCACCGGTTGGGGCATCCATCAGTTCAGCACTGCGGTGAGAAAACTATTCAGTTGTTGGACAAACAGACGGGCTACTCCCAACCCCTGCAGCTCCAAAGACCCCAACACTCACCAAAGGAACTACCTTTTGACTGCAATGGTTTCACAAGAGCTGTGGCCCCTGGCAGCCAGTCAAAGGCCAGCAGCAACTCCATCATCCAGTTTCCATTGGGTAACAACAAATTCTTCGTGGCGGTGAGCTTTCTTGAGTGGTTAGTACATCGAAACAGAACCAACCAACGGCATCGGTGGACGGGTTGGCCCTGACTTTCGGTTGTGGTTCGTCCGCTGGGCGTGCAATATCCCAAAACCGCCCTGTAACTTTAGTCTTATTCGATAGATTTGGTCGGATGCTCATATATGAGTTGCCAGCTTTGAGCCCTCGAGCCCAGCCTGGACTCGGACCAGAACTGCTTGCACCTCAGCGCCGGAAGCCCACACGGCGTTGGAACTTCGGCTGAAAGCCACACGTTCAACACCCCAAAGCCCTTAGACCAAGCACTAAAGGGATAAGACCCCGGGTGACTGAGCCTATCCGGGCCTGTGGTCCAAAACAGAATCTGTCAAGGTACAGTAGGAGGGCTCTTTTGGAGGCTCGTGACGCCACAGCGGGCTCCAGCGGTTCCAGCCGTACCTGGGAATCTGACACCATACAACTATTGAAGCTCCGGAGGGAAACCAATCGGGGCATATTGAACAACATGCTGCCTGGCTCGGCTGGGGGGCACGATCTTAGGTTGCTGATGGTTGCTCCAATTGGCCCAGAAAGGGCTGCACTTTCATCCCTTCCATGATTTGCTCCTGCAGGGGCACATCACTGGGCCAATCCCGATCGCGCCAAGGCACGGCGGCATTGCCATCCGCGTCGGTCTCGAAGTTGGGTTTTTTCTGGCTGATCAACCTCAGATCACGGGATCACCTGATGCCAGGGGGAATCATGCTCTTTCTGTTCAACTGGGCCTGTGTGGACGGTTTCTATGCATATGTATATGTATATATATATATATTATATATACTGTATATAATATATGTATGATATCATATATGATATCTAACTTTTGGGGGAGGACCACTGATAACTGATAGCTGTCCAGGACGATCAAAACAAGAATTGGGTCTTCGACCACTTCGACCAACACATGTTTGGATTGGCTGTTCAACATTCCTCCCTCAGGGAGATTCACTCAGACCGATCCTACAGTAGATGAACACCCGATTCGGAGAGAAAAAAACGCGAGCACATGCGAATGATTCGGTGATTGGTACATATTGGTACCTCAGTTGGGATCTGGTGATGCCCAAAACCGGTCCTCGCCTGGATCTTTTGACCTTTAGATCATGATCCCCTGGTTTTGGAGTTCGGCCGAACGGGACTTGGGTCACGGACTCGGTCACTGGGAACGGCGGCTCCGGTGTCGTTTCGAGCAGGTTGAAACTGGACCGCTCAAGGAGCGGACTGATGAAGTGGCTCACGTATTGATCTGGTGCCTCGACCCAGCAAAGGTTGAAGAGTTGAAGAACCCGACAGTTCGACTAGGTACCCCACTATCTAGGGCCCATCAGGGTCACTCCATCGACTAGGGTCACATTCACGTTGGACGGGACCGCTGACTCCGGACAGCAGAGTCGAGGTCGGAGTGGACCTAAAAGTCGAAGCAACATGTATACCCAAACACGACCAGTCTGGGACTGCCATATCCCAAACGCTCCATGGGACTGCCACATATATGCCGATCAGTTGGGGTGGTGCCAGGGGGGTCAATGTAGGCATATATTCCATATACATGGAGTGTCTGGGATATATGCCGCCTACATTGAGGCCCCTGGCACCACCCCAACTGATCGGCATATCTGGCAGTCCCATTAGTCGTGTCTGGGATAGTGGATTGAGAGTTGAGAGTAGATGGCACTGGCACCCCAAGGGGTGGTCTTTTTTTGTCAATATGAACCCCATGTGACATCTTGAGGTCTGTGCCATGTACTCTGAAACCACTGTATTTATAATAAGAGCTTGAACCCCGAACAATCATTGTTTTTACAGTTTTTGCACTACAAAACCAGATCAACAGGTTCAGTGAATTTAAGTCACCATCTATAGTATCCGCAACCTGTTGTACATATATATATATATATATGGGATAGTAGTCGAACTATAGGGTTCAAAAAGAATCCCTCTGTTGGGGACCGGTCAAATGACGGAACCGCCTGTTCGGCCTCCAACCTGCAGCCAAAGCTCGCATTGAGCAGGTCAATCTTCGACCTCGGAGCGATCGGACCGGAAGAAGAGGTTCCTTAGGTTCCTTGGGGGATGAGAGGTGCGACTGGGTACGGAGAGTCTCCAGATGTCTCCAGTCTCTCTAGCCCTAGGCCTCCAAGTCTGGGTGGGTGCCAGGAGGCTCCAGTCATACCTTCTGAGGAGGTACGACTGGAGGCCTAGGGTGGTTATATATTGGATTTTGTATGATTTTGTGGGGTGTCGACCAAGTGCGCAATAAGAATGGATCCAAAAGACCTGCGTCTGACTCAGTAAGGCTTCACCAATGGTTCACCTCAACACCCAACCAGTTCGGGTCTGCGGCAGGCTCTACGGTCTATGGTCTGTATCGTTAAGTATCGTTAAGTATAACTCACCACAAGGCCAAGCCTAGTGACATTTGGTGATGGAATGACGAACCTGAATCCATCGAAGTCATGAAGTCATGAACCTTCTTGCGGGGGCTACCTGAATTATTTCTATAGGATCGCTTTCTCGACGGGCAATGAAACACATGTTTACATCCACATATTTCCCATTATAGCTCTTCTGGCTTTGGTTCCAAAAACACATCGCCGGTTGCAGGGTTTCGCAATCAAGTGTAAGGTAGAGCCGTGTTCTTGCATGCTTAAGTTAATTAAAACGCTGGCACCCTAAGAATCCAGGTCCTCCAATGGCAAGGCTTGTGGTTTTGTTCCAACATATATATAGTTGATGTTCTTGTGAAACCTGGATTAAGGCATCTGACGGCTTTGCGAACAACAGGTGTTCGTTCGGACGGTCGACCCTATGTAGGTGGCCAGTGTATGTGTTCATGCATCCCACGACCCGGTGCCCCGCAGTTGGCAGCCCAAAGCACTGATCTTGTAGTTGGGGACCACTGCCCTCCGCGCTTGCAGCGCAGGCGCAGAATTGGGACAGTACGTAAGACCGTTGGGTGATCGTTTAATACATGAAACAACAACGGCAATGACCATCAGGTGGCATTGACTTCTTAGAGACATCCGCACCAAGTTGGGTGAACGCGTCAAGGAGTTGAAACCCCAAACTCAAGTGGCTGCCGCTACATTATTCATATTATGAATCAATAAGACCATAAGCACCCCATCGAACTGCCAGATTGGCAATCAGTTGGGGTGCTTCGGGATTAATGTTGGCACCTATTACCAGTCCCAAACAGCTGGTGTCTGGGTAGCTTCGTGAGTCGTTACGATGTGAAAAGTGTCGGAGTCTACCAATAGAGACCCCCAAATAGATTTTGAAAAAGAGTAGATTTAGATTCTTAGATTCGATCCGATCCCCACTATCCCCACTCAAATGTCACGAAACATGCGTTGGAAACCGTGCCACTATCATCCACTATCTATTTGGAGATCACTGGGGGGACCTCATCGTTCTCTTTCTTTCTCGCTCATCGTGCCGACGATCGGACGGTTCGACGCCCCGGACGCCCGGGGCGTCGATTGGTGGTGTAAGGGACGGGCGTCCTGCACCTCCACCTGTGGGAACAGTTGAGTGGTGCAAGATGATGGGGGGAAAAAAACATCCACCATCATCCACCCAGAAAAAGCCAGCGAAGAGGCAGGTATGGACAGGTGCTCCACTTCTCACATGGTCGCAAGGCCTCCGTGCAGCTCACCCACGGCCTGGTCATGGAAACGCCTGGGTGCTCGAGGCGCTGGGGGTGCTCGAGGCACCGCGGCAAAGTGGGCTTCCTCGTCCTGGCGAACCAAGGGCCGTGGCGAGGGAAGTTGTGATGAGAAGGGCACCTGCTCATTTGGAAACAACTTGAAATCGAAACACGTGATATGCAGTACGGTCAAAGGTTGTCACGCGCGGCTGTTGCATCCTTAGATTGGACTGTATCATTCTGAGGGCAGTTCTGAGGGCACGTTTCTTTCGACATGGATCATTCTGGAACACCGACTCAACACAACGTCACTCAGCACCTAAGAAAGCGTTTTCTTCACCCAGCGTGCTCTTCCAAAACGTCGCCCCCATACCCCCCCAAACCAACGCCGGATGCGCCACACCGGTCGGTTTCTCCCACACCGGCGCCCGAATCACCCTGCCTTCCACTCCCGCATCGCCCGCATCCGAACGAACGTCCGACGTGCGCCGATGGCCCCGAGACACCGAGATCCTCCGAGGAGATGGATTCCACCTGAGACCGTGCGACCGGAGACGAGTCTCCGAGGGTGAGTGAAGGTGGGGCGTCTGTTGGTACGGAAGAACGAGATTGAAGCATCTGGACTTACCCGCTATCATGCAAGCTTGTGGAAGTGGGCAATGCCCCCCCCTAGTGGAAGGTGTTCTTGCGGCTCCCCAAAACATCCCCAAACCAGGGTTTTCCACTTGCATGTTTGTTGGAGGGAGGTGCATGCTCGATTTCCACAGCGCATTACAGCCATGAACCAATCAAGTCCATTTGCATACAAATCACCTGGCTTAAGAGTTCTTTGGCGTTTTGTGCATGAACAGCCTCACGTATGTAGAACATGCCAACACATCTGTGAGCACAACGGGGCAAACACTGCGCCTACAAAAGGTCTTTCAATTCGACCTGTCCTCCCGGTCTTTCAATTCGATGTCTGCTGATGGTGATTTTTGGGTCCAGCAATCACTCATAAAATCCCTCTTGCAGACTTCGACAGCCATGTCATGTCTCATTTCCTTGCATTCGACTGGGCACTTTTTGCGCGCAATCTTGACCAGCTTGAACACGCCGAGGTCCCGCTGCGCTGTGGGGACACCATGAAGGCGGTTCGGACACTTTCCAGCATTCTATCATGCCTAATGCGAGTGTTCCTAGCACCGAGTTCCAAGGGGAGTGGGTTTTGGACACCTACCCTCCCAGAATGACCCCAAAACATGGAACTCCTCTTGGTAGATGTTTGAAGGCTCTTGTCCTCCCTGAACCCTCCGGGACGAAGCACTGGATCCCCGACCTGCGCGGCAGCAATCTCTCGGGACACGGTTTCCGCCTGGAGACTGCATTGCACAACGACCTACCCGCCTGCACAATGGTACAAGTGGCTCTGGCTGTCTCGAAAGATGAGTTTCCAGTCGCTTGAAACGGGTTGTCTCGCTGCTGGTCACGGGGGCCACAAGCTGGTGAGGCCCATATGTGGGCGTTGGGATGCTGTGGGCAAGACAGCTTCATGACAGAGTGCCACCCGAAAAAGGAAACATAGCTGGGACCGGAAGCGTGATTCGCCAGAATCTCTCTGAAAACCCATAGAGCATCATAGAGCTATGTTTTTCATTGTTTTTCTGGCCCTTTTGAAACGGGGAAGGCAGACTCGTTGTAGCTCCAGTCTGGGTCTCTGAAACGCACCTGTCCGGATGATGGTCCCATACCTTCCTGTGCAAGAAGACCTGACAGATCTAGGAGTCCCAGTTTTGGAATAACTGCGGTTTGATTTGGCCTGGCTTCCTGAGCCACATCCAAATCTTCTCCATACCCGTAAGCAGGTGTTGCGTTCTCAGTGTCTTCTCCTGCTGGGCGCTGTTGAAAAATAGAATAAAATAGACGAAAGGGCGATGTTGAGAGGAGAACCCAACCATTGGGACTGCTTCCATCGGGACTGCTTTGCCAACCCAACCGTTGCCAAAATTACGCTTGCCGGAGAAAGATTTCTCGCATGCACGCGAGCTCAATCTGGCCTTGGGTTACCGCTAGAATAGAAGTCCAAGTCAACCATTTTTTGCACTACCAGAAGTAACAAGAAACTTCTAGACTCGGGTCATCCAAAGACTATCTTAAACAATGGTCTTGGGCTCCTTATGGGGTTATTGCTATTTCATTGTGATGTTAGGATCGCCTTGGGAAGATTTGGGAAGTTGCTTCTAAGCCCGGCCTTCTGAACCACCTCAGGGCGAACTTGGCTCATGTCCAGCTTGGTGGTGTACAGCGTCTGGACATGCCGCGCGGCGTCAGGCGAAGGGAGTCACGGATGACACGTGGAGCGACGCTTCTACAGTCAAACAACCAGTTTGAGAACTCTCTGAGATGCATTTCAAGGAAGAGATCGTCATTCAGCTGAAGGTGCTGAAAAGAAAAGATGAGTTGGTTTGAGTGAACGGAATGTCAAACAAACGATGGCATCCCAATTGTGAGCAATGCCACTAACGCCGGCTGTGGTCTGGGCCTCATCATAGGTGCTGGTGACACCAAACAGCTCATTGTTGACTTTGAACTGGTCCCATTTCTGGCGTCGCGATGCCAAGGAGTTGATTGGGTAAGGGGAATCCATACTTGACAACTTAATATAGTGATTGGGCCTTGGGTCCAGTAGCAGTGGATGATGATGATGATGATGATGATGATGATGATGATGATGATGATGATGATGATGATGATGGTTAGTAAAGGCCTTTCTCTAAAATAGTGATAGCTGTTTGCCGACTGTTGCAGGTAATGTAACCAGCCAAGATAGATACGCCTCCAAATCTTTGTCACAGATTCTGCACAAACGTGTCTGGCTTGATCGCATTGGTGGTGTTCATGCCCTGGCCCTTCTAAACCAAGCTCTCGCTCCGAAAAGTGCCAAACCCTTCACCACTCGCTTGCTGTCAAGAATCTCGATTGACGACCCACAGGTTTAGATTTCAACGATTGCCCCAGCTTCTCTCCTGAAAGCCTGGGAGCCACCCTTTTCTCCTTGAAACCCAGTCTCACCGCACGTCCTTCTTTCCGCACGCCGCCTCCTCCCGGTCCTGTTTCACCGCCCCCGCCGGTGTTTCTGTTCCCCGCGGGTGCAAACGCCTCAGGAGGCCCATCTAGTGGCCCCAGCGCCGCTTCCAAGAACAACTTCTGCTTGGCCTCCGGATCCTCCACCGGCTCCGGCTCCGGTCCGGGGCAGGTCCGACGTCCCGAGCTGGGACCTGTGACAGGGCGGCGGGGCCGAGCTGGGGTGGAGACATGGAGTTCCTCCCCCCGAGGGAAGGCAGAACATGGATTCCAGGACGTCTCCGCAGAAAAGACCTTTAAACAAAACGGAATGCATTTCTCGTGGGTTCCAAATGTCTTCATCTTCATCTATGATGGACATCAATATGGATGATATATATATATATAATGCAAGTGGTGGTCCATATGCCATGATCTTATATGCATCTATGAATCTATGATCTACATAATGCATCTAAAATTCCTATTCATGGAGTGGTCGTTCTTGGCAAATAACGACCCTGCACATGCCGCCCTGGTCTGCCCCTCACACCCGGACAATCCTTGGGCGCTTTTTCCGGCTGCCAGGGCTGCAGAGGTCGTCCCACCTGCGGAGGTTGACATGAATCCGGAAGTCCACTGGTAAAGAAAGACATGGTTACATGGTTACACTCCCTGCAACTAACATGGAAGTGGACAATGGCCTCTTGGAAGACCATTTTACCTCTATAAACAGGATGTTTTCCACTTCCATGTTAATTCCAGGGAGAGTAACACCTGTGGAATGCTGACTGCAGGGTTTTGAGGTCTTGTTGAGACCGTGACCGAGCACTGATGTACCTCAGCTTCAGGATCAGGGATGGCTCCAAGGTGCGCCAAGGTGCTGGGTTTGGCAAGGCTCTCAATGCGTCGACCCCTTTTTTTTGTTCAGGTTTTGGTTACAGGATGTTACAGGCTGCTGCGCATAACAACAAGTGCATTGCATCGAAACTTGAAACGCCCAAGACGTGCACAGATCAGTGAATAATCCTCCTCAAACATGCTTTGGGCTATTCTTCCATGTATGAGGAGGCCAGCAAGTTTTTAGGCCTACGCTGCGTGAGCTTTTTCTCGTAACGTGCGGGAGGGGCATTCCCAGCAGAAACATGTTGTTTGCGAATGGGTGTTTCTGCAGAAAATCCAGGTGAAACATGTCCACCTATCTTGAAATTGAGTGGAGCCCCCCAATTCCATCCACTTTCGTGGAGAACTCTCCTCGCTCTGCCAGCCGACCTCGTCCTCGGTGCTCTTCTTCCCCTCCTCACGCCGTCCCGACCGTCGTCCACGGTCGGATGTCGAAAACGGTCGGAGGGGGGCGGGTTCTTTCTGAATTCTGAGGGTTAGTCAGAGGGGCCCGGGGGGGCAAACACGTTCAACATGATGAGACTAGAAGTGGAAGAGGAGTTTTGCACACCCTCGTTCCGTCCCAAAAAACAAGTTGGGCTGTCCCAAGTCGAGCCACCTTGAACAAATGAGATGACAATATATTATATATCACGTTATTCAAGATTTCAATGAGAATACATGACAAAACTCGGGTCTGGTCTGCCACGTGTCTGCAACTTAATTTCAACCTTCGTCTGTCCAAGCGGGCAGAATGTTGAACCGAAGAACATGCAGCAAACAGCGCTGTCTGCCCTGCCTTGCTCCAAGGATCATTCTCAAAGATGGGATCCACCTCCAGCTCCGCCTCGCAGGGACAGGTTGGATGATGTTGGATGTCTCGATGCCGATGGTGGTGTGATGGGAGACTTGAGGCCGAGGGTAGGTGACGAAAGCTAGCAGGGGTGCATCCGGACTGGTGGGACATCAAGCGGAGTGAGGCAAATGCTCATGAGGTAAAACGTTGTGAACATGTAAGACACACAAACAGCAATGACACAGCCAACCTTCGAATTGAAGTCCCCGACAATTAAGGAAGCGTGGCTGGACTTTGCCACACTGTTCGATGCATCCGATGTGTTCACGAACCTGTGAGCTTGTTGAATCTGTTGCACCGTATCCCAAAACCTCCACGGAGGAGTTGAACCAGTGATGCCATAAGAGGTGCCCAAGAGGTGTCCCAGAGGCAAAACAAAGCTGCTTGCATGATTTGTTTGGTTTCTTCTATCGATGTCGATGTCATGAACATGTGAGCTTGTTGAATCTGTTGCACCGTATCCCGGAGGCCCGGAGGAGTTAAGCCAAAGTGGATGCCATAAGAGATGCCCGAGAGGTGTCCCAGAGGCGTCCGAGGGGGGAGTTGAACCCACGGGGGGGGGGGGGGCCCCCCCCCCTACATATGAAGTTTTCACGTGATGCGGCGATCCCGAGGATTCCAGCCCCTCACTTGCTAAAGCAAGGACAACTCCAGCTAGCTGGTGCTAGCTTTCGTGACTTGGCCTCAAAAGTCCCGGCACTTCATCCTGAAGCCAGCCTTTTGGTGAGAGAAAACCATGGGGACATGCCCCATCTGGGGCGGAGAAGTCATTTTGTATGTCATCGTTATAAGGTATAGGTTTCTAATGACGCATTCCTCTTGAAGTGACCAAACACATTGGGACAATCCCAGCGGCGCATCGACGGCAATGACCTCAACACCCGTCCCCCAACACACGAACACACACACCAACAAGGCAGTGCCGGCACGGCCGAACTCATCGGCGAAACCCTCAGTGCCCAGGTCATCGGTGGACCGCCCCTGCCTGGTCAGCCTTCGCAGCCTTGGTCGCCCGTTGGGCGCGGTTGTGGTTGGGCGTGGGCTGCGAGATGACCTGTGGCGGAGGGGTGGCGATTCGAAGAAGAACCAATTCTTCAACACCCTCACGACGTTGACATAGTGATACTAGAGTGACCAGTTGAAGGGGAGGTTGACATCCCCGGGGTCAATCATGACCAGTTTCTCACATAGAACAGGTTAGGTAACATATTACCTTCTTGTTTACCAAAGAGTATTGCATCTGTATTAAATTATCATTATCAAACATAAGGCATAAGGGTACTGATTTGTTGATTGGCCCAGTAGCCCAGTGCAGGTTCACGCGGCGATTCACGTTGGTGCGCCCAAACCGCTATATGTGCACCTTTGCAGTCGGGCCACCTACTGACCAGACACGACATGTTGTCCATTCTAGGAACAACCAAAATTGCAAAACTTGTTTGATTTGACACCTACACTGACACGTTTATTTTTCAGAAAAATGGAACAGTGAGATGTCGACAACACGAATAGGGTATGGACAAAGTGACTGAAAACAAAAACATGTTCGTGGCTCTTCCAATACAAACCAGCCCATATGGTTTCCAGGTCCCATCAAATTCCAAGTCGGTTTGGATTGGTTTTGGTTTGCCCATCGCCACGGCCCAATCTTGGTGCGCCTTCTGGATGGATTGCATGAAAGCGTTTCCCTTCTTCCCCTGCCCGGAGCGCTACATTCAGGCCATTTAGCTGTCCCGGTCACAAGGTCATCCGTCCTGCAAGTGGACCACAGCAGGTTCAAGCAACCACCACATCGCGTCAACCCACGTCCACGTCCGCCCACAAACCCTCTGCCTAACACTCAGTGGAAAACCCCGAAGAATCTGCGGCGAATCCCCTACAATGGACACACATGGCAAGCACACCATGGAACTCCAAACTCGACATGGAACTGCAAACTTTGTTTCTTCGCATAAAGCCCTGCAAACATGGATTGTAAAACCTCTTTGTGGAGGTACGGGGGGTTGAACAAGTTCCTGGCGGCTGGCGATCGTCTATCTGTTGCAAGTTCTCATATAGATCATCCCGTTGGATCGCCATCTTCCAGCTGCAGAACTTTGCCGCCTGTGGCCGGGAGTTGCTCCAGCCCTGCGCGCCCTGGAGCTGAGAGAAGGGAACGACGCACGTGACCGGTTGCACGACTCGAAACCATCTCAGCCCGTGGGAACAAATCATCCACGTTTGGCAAAAACTTGAGATAGGACGGGGTGAACGAAAGGTAGCAAATGGGCGAGAGGGGAAAGGAGAGAGGATCGCAGGGGGGGAAGTCCAAGTCTTGAGAGGCACGAGCGCTTCTGACTGAATTCGGCATTGCACGTGGTTTGGCGGTGGCTCATGTCAACCTGTGACCTTCCATGCGATTCCCAAAGAAACAGACCGACCGGAGGCTGCAGGTCATACCCAAATTAATCCTAAAGAAGCGAAGCCCTCAGCCCCAGCAAGACAAGCCCAAAGAAACCCTAAAGAAGCGAAGCCCTCAGCCAAGCCTAAAAGTTAGCCCTGAACAGCCCGCCACGCTCCGTCCAAACCAACCCAAAGAAACCCTAAAGAAGTGAAGCGCTAAGCCGGGCCTGCAGAAACAATAAAGAAGTGAGACCCGCAAAATCGCGCAAACCCAGCGAACCCAAGCAAAACAAACCCAAGGAAACCCTAAGTGGTGAGGCCCTACGCCAAAGAAGCCCTGAAGAACTCAAGCCCCCAGCCAAGCCTAAAGGAACCCGAAAGAAGTCAGACCCGAACACCCCACAGCCCACCCCAACAAACCCTAAAGAAAGAGACGGCCAGGAAAGAACCAGCCATACCCAAACAAATCCTGTAGAAGTGAAGCCCTCAGCCACAGAGAACCTTATAAAGTACACCCCGCAAGCCAAACCCAAAGAAACCCTAAAGAAGTCATGAAGGTAGTGAAGTTCGCAAGCCAAAGCCAAAGAAACGAAGTGAAGCCCTAAGCCAAGCCCAGAGAAACTCTGAACCCGCCTGCCGAGCCCCAAAGCCTAAAGTAGCAAGGTCCGGATGCCAAACCCAATGACGCAAAAAACACAAAAGACATGAAACCCTGGAAGCCCAACCATAAGAACACCCGAAGAAGTGAAGCCCTAAGCCCACAAGCCAACGAAACCCTAAAGAAGTGAAGACCGAAGCCACAACTAGAGAAAAATTACAACGCGATACCCGAACATCCGGAACATCACCCACCTACTATAGTTTCAGATCGAATTCGAGTTCAAGTCCGAATTTGAGGCCTTCCAGGGTTGAGCTCTAACAGTTCCAGCTTGAGGCTGAATGCAAGTTCGAGGCTTCTATGCTTCCAGGGTTGAGCTCTGACTGTTCGAGTTCAAATTTGAGCTCGAATTCAAGTTCGAGCGGGGCACACTATGCCACTATGCCAAGAAACATGCTTGTCCAAACGTCTCAAGATTTGCAACCAAACCGCGACGGCGCAGGGGGGATTTAATCCAGGGAGGGGGAGGCCTGTCCGAGAGATGGACTGTTAGGAACTATGCGACAAATCCCTTTCAAACATAACAGCACGACCAGAACAAGAACAAGAACAAGAACAACAACAACACCAACAAGCAGGTCAACAACAACAAAATGAACAACAACAGCGGTAATCACAACAACAGTAGCAGGAACAAAACAGCAACACCAACATCAACAACAACCAGAACCGATGAACAACAAACAACAACAACAACAACAACAACAACAACCAACAACAACAACAACAACAACAACAACAACAACAAGCAGAACATAACAAACAGTAATCACAACAACAACAATATGAAGATGAACAACAACAACGACAATAGTTATCACAACAACAGCAAAAAAAAAACAATAACAGTAACGCCAACACCAACAACAACAAAAACACATACAGCAGCAACAACAACAAGAAGACAAACGCCAAGAACAAAAACACTGATAACACCAAGGCGAACTACTACAACAACAACAACAACAATAATCACAACAACGGCATGAAAACTGTTGTTGTTGTTGCTGTTAGTTCCTAACAGTCCATCTCTCGGGCCCCCCTTGTCGAACAGAATCCCTTCTTGCAGGACCAAGCTCAATGCATAATCCCTAATACATTCTTCTTAAAACAAGGAGAACTCAGGTAGCTGAAGCTACCTTTCGTGACAAATACTCTAAACTTACACTGTCGAACCACAGGACAGTAGCCAACGACTGAAATGACAAAAGGGATGTCCTTGGATTTCCTGGTATATTTTTTCGGTTAGGGCAACGAGTTCGATGTGACCAAATAAGAAATTACTAAACAATTCCTGTACCAAACGCCAAGACGCCCTTTGTTTTGCGGCCACTACCTCTGTTCGATCAAAACCGGGATCATATTCCGGCGTCTGCAGAAGTGCTGGTCTGCAAATGCAAAATCGTATGGTAATACCTCGTCGGTATGATGAACCCATCATGTGCGGACATCATCACACTTGAACGTCGCCGTGCCTTCTTCCATGGATCGTGGCCGTCAACCCAAGGATCCTGCAGAGCAAGACACGTGCGGAAACCACCATGTAATCGTACAGCATGCATGGACTCAGCTGGCCACCTGCTCCTTTCAACTCGGTGTTGTTCCGCCGATATCGGATAGATCATGTCCTTTTTGCGGCCAGGTCCACTGGAGAATGGTAATGTTGACTTCCTGACTACACATGGACCGTGAATATTGTGAATGTTGAAAAGTAACCATTCAAAATGGACCCCCACATTATGCTAATCTGTTTCTGGACCCTGGAATTCAGCTGCTTCCAAACCTTGATTCATCCAAGTTGTTCCTTTCCTTTCATTTTCTTTCATTTCCTTTCCTTTCCTTTCATTGTCCTTTTCTTTCCTTTCATTTTTCAATTTGTTTCTGGATTTTTGCTGGACTTAGCTTGTATAGGGTCAGAACTTGGTCAAGGGGGTTATATGACTTCCACAATCAAGTGGTGCAGCTCTATATCGTGCGCATCCGAAGCCATGACGGTCCAAATCGTTTTGGTGGGCCCGTGCTGTTTGACTTGGGAGCTCTGCAACGTTCAACATCTTAAAGCATTTACCTGATGGCCTGTGTGACCTTAAACCACATGGATGATCCACCTCGCCCGGATCGCTGGAGCGACTGGTAGATCGCTGGAACAGGAACTCGGTGCTCCAAAGCGGCCCCCTAACGCCCTAAGCGAAATATGCGAATCCACTGAGTCTAAATAGGTCTAAATAGTAAGCAGGCCCCCAACCAATTGACTTGCTCTCTTTCCCTTTTGAGGATCGAGCTGGGAGGTCGACCTATTTATATACACACTCAGATGGCCTCCGGCAGCTCGTGCAAGCATTCCCTCCGAAGCACCAGCTAGTCCAACGCACTTTTCGGACAGAAAACCGAGCAGTCGCAGTCAGCTTCGTGAAATCTGCTCCAAAACTCGTGCAAATTCCTCAACGGTTTGGCAGTCGCGTGCTTGCTGCTCTGCTCATGTTCTTCACGGATTTCCTCACCTTCGCTGACAACTTCGTCGACGGACTTCTTTGTCGTTTGATCTGTGGTGACCGTCTGAGCCTGTGCTTCTGGCATTTGTCACACTGAAATGTAGTCATTCTACTATGATATTGCATGTTGTGGATTAAGACTTCTTATGGATCATGGATCATTTCAAAGTATGTAGTGCCACACCCCTGTACATTTTACCAACCCTGAGGGCCAAATGTTCATGCCCCAAGTTACAGCGTTCTTTGGTCAAGGTTCTGCGATCGATTTGGGTCGGCTTTTACAGGTCGGGTGGAATGTCTCTGACTGCACAGCCACAATAGCCAGCTTGTTGACGATCCAACCCTGTTGGCTAGTGAGTCATTGATAGCTCATTCACCTGAAGCCATTGTCTTACGTAAACTTAACTGCATATCCCCCATGATCTCTTCTCATCCCTGGTTCTCGTGGATTCACACTTCAGACTATAACCACCGTTGAGCAACAGCTGGTTGGATGCTGCTTCACATTACTGTAAGAATTGAGAGACATCATGAAACACCTGCATCCAAACCAAGAAGGCCAAATTGTTCTGTTATGTTCTGTTCTTACGGAATACTGTGCTTCACAGCGCGGAAAAAGACACGTTTGCCTGGGCAAACGACGTGTGATAGCGACACTGCACAGTGTCGCAACGAACACGTCATGTATTTTGAGGAGACCCATCGAGACCCAAACAACAGCCAACAGCGAAAGCAAACCCATCCGAATCCTCAGGACGAGCATGTCTGGACTTCCTATGTTCGAAGACATCACAATTTCCTCCCCCAAACAAACCATGTTCTTTGATAAAGGTGCATCCTTAATTTCCTCCCCCTGCTTGTATCGGAGATAACCTTCACACAACCTGTTCTGCCACGACGCTTAGACTCGGACGGACTCGGACGTGCGCGTTCCACCTGTTCGGACGTTCCGCACGTTCCACCCCAAGCAGGTTCCAAGCTGTGCGCTCCGACGAGTCCATGTTCCCAGAGCTCCTCTTGCCGAGAATCCTTCTTCTCTTTGCCCTGGGGACGGACCCGGAGAGAAGTCCAAGAGGGGTTGAAAAACCCTATGAACTATCCCACTGACTATCCCATACCCAAACGCTCCATGCATGCCATATATGCCTACATTGGGGGGTCAATGTAGGCATATATTCCATACATGGAGTGTCTGGGATAGGTACCCAGGTTTCGTGTCCTATAAGGTCACCGAACTTCTGTTGGAATCTGCTCCTCACTGGTTGGTTCATGTCTATTGATCCCTCCAACTGGGCGCGGAAGTGCAGGGTGGGCCACACGGGTGGGTTGGCTTTGTCCCTGGTGTTGTCTCCAGATTCCTACGGCGTAGTCATAGAAAGTGTGTTTCATGGTGTTTCTCAATTCTCAAAGTGAAGAGATTCATTATGATGAGACACGGTCATAAACACCTATATATATATAGTATTTAGGCAGCATATCTTCCGTTTGACCCCTCGACATGTCGACATTAATGTTGAAACACCGTGTCAACAACCATCGGAACTGATGGACCTCTGTCAACGGCGCCAACAAAAGATCGTCAGATCGTATGCTTGCTACCTACTTTTGGATATATAACTATTGGGCCTAAGTAGGTAGGTAGCCTAAGTATGAGTAGGATTGGGCTACCTACTTTTTGGTTTCAAATAGTTATATACTAACATCTCAAAGGCCACCCTCTCCAAAAGCGGCACCCAATCTATGTCCACGAGGATTTTCACAACACGCACATTTTAAAGACACGATCGAACATACGGACATAACATATATTGTATAATCATCATTATACAATTTAATCATTGTATATCCCTCTCTCTCTCATTCTTTGTCTTCCCGGTGTGCAAAACGTGCTCTTTGGTGCACATGGCCTGGTCCCAAGGGTCATTGACGATCCAGGGATCGGCCTGGTGCAAGGGCGAGGGTCCGTGAAGCCTGGAACCCGTCTCGTGTGAAGCACTGGAAGTCCTTGCTTCCCACCATGTATTGAAGTGAAAAAGGGCATTCTAAGAGACCACACCCAGTTCCAGAGTTTCTTTTGATAGCGAAAAACACGAGGACATATACAGTAAAAACACATAAACAATCATAAACACATATATGTTGACATACTCTTACTGCACGCTTGGACGCTGCACCAAGAGTCGCCTAGGTTGCATTCCACTCAGAAAAACACACACACATGTCATCCAGTCCCATGGAGTGTCTGGGATTTAGAATGATGTAAACCATGTTTAAATCAGAACGCCTTCATGGCCTCAAAAATTGCTTTTCCAGAACATCAAACGTTAAAAGCATAAAACCATCAAGAAAAAGAACACGCCTTTCTGTGGCCGTTTTCGACCAGGTCAATGAACCCATATGCTGTCAGCTATGTAGTCCCACGCCTGCCAATGGGAATGATCCTTGTCTTTGTCGTTGACCTGCGTGGCGAGCCAACTGGGGACTGCTTTTTGGAAGGCCTTTCGGGAGGCCGTTCGGCTCTTCTACAAACCCTGAGAGTCCAACTGACGATTATGATTTGGGGTCGAGCAACGGGAGTCGGAACTCCTGGGGAGCAGGAGGCGCTCTACTTTCATGTTTAGGGACTATAGTATGACGTATAGCATGAGTCAGAGGTAGTTTTGCCGGACAAGTGGCAAGGAAATGTTGCGTGAACGTACAGCGGCCTTGTCCAAGGAAAACAGCCGGCCGAACAACCCCTATGGTTGGATGATCAATGCACATGTAATTTGTTGCTCCACCTGCTGATGCCTGCTGCATCATCTGCCTGAATCACTCAGGGATGGGTCAAAACCAGGATACCTTGCTAACACGACGTGCGCTCACATTCCCTTGACACACGCTGGTGTCGCATCAGCTGGGACTTTTCAGTTTCCTGGGAGGTCGATCTCATCTACCGTTTTTTTGGCCTCCGGAGTTCGACCTGCAGCCACCTGCGATGTGGTTGAGAAAGCTGGTGAACCCTCCTGCGACATGCCTCAATTCCACAAAATGACGGAGATGCCGTTAGCGCCTTTCTCAAACCGATGTGGGAAAGGGTTGCTTCATCAATTAACATCCTTTGACCATGTTCGCCGTCAGCCAGGGGAGTCAGTTCAGGAAACTCACAATCACCCTTTCTCCGCACAACCGAGCATGTCGTCTTCATGCCGTTTGCCCCACCCCCACCCCCCGAAATCAAGGTTCCGCTCTGCTGCTCTGCTCTGTTCGTTGCGGTGTTCGGTCCATTTAGGCCCGGTTGGTGCTTTCCAACATCATTTAAACGATAGGTATCCTGGAGTAGCTCAAGCAATCATGCCAGTTGAACATTAATGGGGACATTCAAACAAGCCAATAAGAAACTGGTCTTGGATGAAATTATATCTATAATTACTTCAGGATGGTTGCATACGTCTGCAATTCACAGGATTCACAGGTTTCAAAAAATCTTTGTCGACATCCACCCCCATCAACGAGCTTTTCCTTCGTCAACTCACCTGGTTTTCCAAGCGATGGCACTTACCCCAGAAACCCAGCTGCGAAACCACAACACGTTTGCTGGAACTGACCAATGCGAAGGCCCCCGCCTCAGTGTAGGAACCGTTCTGCTTCCAGTCTTCAGCCTGCTCCTGACCGAAAACAAGGGCGCTAACGCACAAAATATGGCACCAGATTGCACCAGAAATGAGAGCTTTCCCGTGCTTTCGCTGTGCTACATCATGCTACACCCCACAGGAACCCAACATATATTACCAGCCCTTGCGATCCGATGGGTTCTACTACGGTTCTACTACAGTACTAGTTCCGCTGTGCTGCTTTTGTGAGTGTCCACCATTTGCCATTGTGCTGTTTCTTTTTGAGGAGGCGGTCACGGGGTTGCTTTTACAGGGTGCAGTAATGGAGGGCAGCTGTCCCGCCCTTTGTGGTGGTGGGCGGCTGCTGGCTCTCCCAATTAAAAGTAAACGTGTTTGGGGTCCCTTTTCATTTTTTCAGCTTCAATTCGAGGGTTTTCAATTGGCTTAATGCTAGTGCTAATTTTGGTGCATATGTTTGTGAACTTGGTGCGATTTTTCGTGCTGTCATGTGGTTCCTGGTGGTTCTTCTTGTGGGTTGCTTTATGATCTCTGGCGCGCCTTTTGCAATTGCTGGTGTTTAAACGTTCATGAAGCTCATGAGTTGTGTCTTCTGGTGCTGCTTTTTGTGCTTCGTGTTGGGCGCGGTTTGTGGTTTCTGGTTTGGAACTTTCGCACGCATGTGAAGCTTTACGGCGTGTGTGTACTTTTGGTGCTCGTTTTTGTGATTTGCTTTGTCATTTCCAGTGCGACATTTCGTGATGGCTGGTGCAACACAACTTGTAGATGAAGCAAATGACTTGTGGGTTTTCTAGTGCGAACGGTGCCGATGTCCGATCCTTGTGCCTTGGATTTCTGGTGTGAACTTTCATGGCGTAGCGCGGTCTCACCTATTTGGACGGTCTCACCTGTCCCGGTCCAAACTTTCGTATTTCCTGGTGCAATTCTTCTTGTGATTTGTGGCAGTATTTCCTATTTTTTGTTGCTTGGTCTGGGTGGGGGTGAGGGGACTAGGTGGGTGGAAGGTTGACTGGATTGTAAGGAAGCACATGGAGATAGGCCCAGGACACCAAACATGGAGGGCCAATTCCAGGAGGGTTCGCTGGTCCTAGTTGGAAAACAAGACATTGATAAAATGTTAATTATCCTGTTAGGGTGGGGGCCGACTCCAACTGTATAGACAACTCTAAACCATGATTCAATACGTGATCATCCTGCTTTCCAAAAAATCAACGCCCAACTGTTTTGGGACTTCGAACACCAACGGCTTTTTTACTGGAAGAAGACGAGCCGTCCAGGCAATCCAACTTGGTCCTCAAACGTCTAAGCCACTATGTTGGATATATATATATATTGATGCACCACACATGAATCGTGCCAACATCATAGAGCCCAGCCAAGACTCTCGGTTTTTCATGTCTGACGCGTGTGGCATGTTCTTTTTCCCCGGATGAAAAACATGAAAGGGAATGAATCATCGTCATCAGAAATTGCGTGTCGCGCCATAGCATAAAATGCCGTTCTCGAAGCCCAAAGACCATCTGTACAACTACCCGTAACTACGCATTGGACTTTGGTCCTCATGGAGGATCTTGCTATAACTTAAGTGCTCGAAGGCAGGGTCCCCAAAGTGGCGCAACAGAAATCCTGTTCTGCATCCCGCAAACATCTCCATGAACATCAAGTTAGCGGATCTCTGCAAAAACTCTTCTCGCAGGAAAAACCGCGTTCATCTGCAGTCACCAACTCAAAGAAGGAGCAAAACAATTAACGTCATCCTTCGCGTCCTGTTCTCCGTCCCACCCACCCCAGGCATCCCCGCGCCTTCTTCCAGGGGTCCTCCTTCTGTAAGGGGTCCTCCTGCTTCCAAGGGTCAGTGTCAATCCAGGGGTCCTCTTTCCAGGACGACTCTGACTCTGCCTGGCGAGGCATCACACGATCTCAGGACGGAGTCGTTGGAGAAGAAAACGGACGCAAAGTTCAGGCAAAATTCTGCCTGGAACTTCAATCGAGCACCAATAAGTACTAAGTGTCTAAGATTTCTGGTTGTTCAGGCAAAGTTCTTGCATTTTTGTTCCATGGAGAGCGAAGACAATCAATCATGCTCAAGGACAACCGGAATCTCCCACCCCTCTGTCAAGAGTTGCGTGCAGGCACTCCAACATTTTACCTTTTGGGCACACGGGGTGGGGTGCTATTTGTTTTGGTTCGGGGCAATTTGTCTCCCAAGTTTGTCTCATGTTTGTGAAAACGACCTTTGCGAAACATCACTCCTGTGCAAAGGTTGAGCTATGTTACAGCTGTGTTGCAAGCAATCTTGGCTTCAAAAAATCTGGATTCCACAAGAGCTTAAAACACAAACATGTACTGTCTTCAAAAAATCTGGAGGTGATGGGTCCTAGCAATAGCATGCAATAGCTGTCCATTTTCAGTACACCTGTAGTAAAATATCTTATCTTCAACTGTCTTCCCCAAGGATTCCACTCCGCACCTGCCAACTCCGGCCGTTCTCCGCAGGGGCCTGCGCAAATATAACAAGAACATCCAGCACCACCCAAAGGGTGGTTTAGACCCGCCTGAAGATGTATTTTCCATCTAATAACCACCCTTTGGGTGGTGCTGGGTACAAGAACTATAAAACAACTCAGATCTGGGAACCCAAAAAGAGCCGAAAACGGGTCCAAAAAGAGCCGAAGGGAGGCCACTCAGTAGAGGCCTCCCGATACGTTGAGATTGTCAGTAACTATCTTTGTGATACGGTTTCCTTCTCGTTCAACGCGTGGACGATGATTGGTCTTTCGCAACCGCCAATGAGGGAATCCGCATACAAAGACGGTTCCGAGTCGTAAAGCTTCACATCCATTCACGTGGGTAAGCCGTTGGTTGGGGTGAGAAGCAACACAACCTTTAGCTCGACCACAGTTTGCTTGCTCACAAACAAAGCAATATGAGATTTTGACCCCTCAAAGCCCCAGGGCCCCATGTTTGAATCCAATATGCCAGCGAGTCAAAAAGGAACATGCAGCATCTGATGACGTCCACATCTCTCTATACCTGACCTGGGCTAGGGGTGTCCATTAACCACCGGGGGCCCTGGTATTCTCGTTGCCTGAACTGCAATCCGGCCGACCAAAACACCAAGCAAGCACATTTGAACCAGCTTGCCATCCCAAAGCAGCGGCGCAGCGGGTTGTCTGGGATTGTGCGCCTTTTTTCACCTATATCCCGAATCCACGTATACCTCGCCATGAGTGTAGTACTGAAAAATGCAACTAGGCTGCCACATTGACATATGCAACCCGCAACCTGCACTAGCTGAAGAGGCCTTCTGGTCTTTGCTCCCTCGAGTTCCTCTCCTTTTGCCCTTTCCCTGACAGCGGGTTCGCGCCACGAGGATGAGTATGGGAAGATTAGATGTGCGACTGCTTCCTGCTCCTGTTGCCAAATGTGAAAGCCATATACAGCAATGCGACATACGGTTAGTTAACATCTTGCAACGTAAGAAGGCACAATAACAGGCAAAACTCCGCAACCCACGGCATCTTTTCTCCAAACATCGAGCTAAAAGCTCGAGCTTGCAACTCGTGCGTCTCCCCCTGACACCCGAGTTGGCCTCGAAGTCCGAAAAGGTGTCTCGTTCGTCCGGTGATGTGGTGATGTGGGTCACCGGGGAGCCCTACAGACGACGCATGAACAGACGAACGCAAACATGGGTCAACCTATAGGACCGGAACCTACCAGGGTGAAACAGTCTCCTGTGACCCATGGCGCCACGTGGAAGCAAGGGTTCTTCATTTCAAAAGCCTGAGTCAGGGGGTGTCTCTTCTTTCAACGCGCTCATCGCTCGCTCTCACACCGCGAAAGCGCGCGAAAGGCCTCGCCCTTCAACCTGTCGTGGGTGAACAGGCGACTGGAGATAAGGTGGCCCTCGCGCCCCCGGAGTTGGGAGAAGCTCTACCAATAGAGGGTGACCCAAAAGAATCGCAGTCACATGGTTGAGGTCCCCCCGAAAGACATGGGGCCGCCCGCCCATGTCTTTCCGTTTGACACGCACTGAGACAGCGGTTCACTGCTGAACTGACCCGAAAAAAGGTGAGCGGTTTGTAGCGGTCGGGCGGATGGTGACGACCCCGCGGTGACACCAAAAATCACGTCTCCAAGCAAATGCGTGTACACACTCCAAGAAATAAAGACAAGAACTAATAAATAAGGACAATGGTCCTTGTTCCTACCAGGACCCTCCAAGGGGTGCCCAATGGAAGCATATAGGTAGTGTGGGGTAGTTCATTGGACACCCCTTGGAGGGTGCTGGTATACTTCTGTTGTCTTTTGGGATGGGCTCTGTCTTGACGGCGGGCCCATATGCGGGGCCCAGACAGAAGGGACACGGTCTCTTGGCCCAACGGCCCGGTGTTTTGGGCGGCGAACAGGCAACGGCATAAAACGAAGGACAAAGGCCGTATGGCCCCCACACTCATAGAACTGGCAAGCACAAACATTTGCCATATGCATGAAAATGCCCAGTTCAACCGTGTTATATCCCAGACACTCTATGTATGCCATATATGCCTACATTGGGGTGGTTTCAGGGGTCAATGTAGGTAAATATGGCATACATGGAGTGTTTGGGTATATATATATATACATGTCCAAGTGGCGTCCGTTGGATCCGTCAAAAGCTCCGAACCACATGGCTTTTTGTAGGACCCAGATCCGGCAGGGAAGTTCTGAACATCCGTCTGAGACTCACAGCGTCCCATGTGCCCACCAGTCTCCCACCAGTCATGTGCCAACCAGTTCAAGTGCGGATGCTCATGCGCACCTAGCTCGAGCCCCCAATACTAAACTAGAGTCAGACTATACTTTAAAGCCTGAGTTCTACATGTCCATCACCCTAATCCTACGTCGGCATTACAAGGTTTCGAAGCCCATACCTTCGGTTTCGAAGCCCATACCTTCAGATTGCAGGAACTGTTCGCAGATTCGTTCAGGACCATGACTATGACTAAACGTTGGTGCGTGGTCGTCCAGCCTTTCACTGGCACCGCGCCGTCCAGCCCCACCTGGGTGGAGTCTCATCGAAAACAGCTTCAAAGCTTTCAAATTCAAATCCTGAAGGCACGGGTTCCATCCGGTGGGGTCGGTGCCGCAGCGCGCAGAAGGCGGGCACTGTCTCGGCGGAGAGGAGGCCAGTTATTGTTGAGGGGAGATGGCTGGAAATATAGACCAATCTGTAAACAGGCATTTACAGGAACGAAAACTTGTGAAGCTACCTGGACCTTCTTTCGGGGTGTCCTGTCTGGAGATCCCTTAATAGTGAAGGGCCTTCCAGCCAGGTGACCCCGACATGAAGGTGCTGGCACATGTCATGCAACTTGGGATGAAAATTGCACTTCAACCTGGAATTCGGAGTCTCTGAGAACGAACCACGCCAAGTCTTGGGAGTGTGTGACCGTCCTCAATGAACCGCACGATGTGCGATGTAACAACTCTCCGTTTGACAGCTCAAGGACCTACTCTAGCAAGTGCTTAGGGAACTCCTGTGAACTCCCTAGCCATCCCTAACCTACACACATCCAAAATGCTTCTACTCCACTCTCAGAGTCATTAGCTTGGAAGGGAAAACCCATTCGTTTGTTTGTAGAGAAAAAATGGTCTTCCAGATGTCTATGTTCCACTTCCATGATGACTTCAGGAAGTGTAGATGCCTTTTTGGCTCGCTCCCTCACAATCAATCGGGGTGCTAGCTCCTTCACAACCTGGCATTCTGCATTCTGCACTTGTACATACATCTGACCACCCATGGGACTGAATATAGTTACATACCAACAATTTAAGATGACCCATACATGGATGGTAACTCTTCCGGTCCCATTCGGCTCAATTGCTCCAAGTCACCATCGTCCTTTCTCGACTCCGGAACATTCACACCTGCTGGAGGTCTGGAAACACGAGAATTGATCTGTCAAAGCAAACTGATGAACTCTGAATGCCAAAGGGGGCCATATACCCAATATTATATATATATATATATGGCTAACTGTTTAACATCTGTTCGCCCAATCACCACAAACAAACACTATATATGTTAGTATACGATATGCGAGTGGATCTTAATCAGCGAAGTTTGAAGCTATCACTGACGGTCCATAAGCGGCGTAGCGTCGGAACGGAAACCGCACCTTTTCTAGTCGCTTGATCCTTGAGCCAAAGTACATATGGTACATATATATGTACAAGTTGCACTGTACGTGTCGCTGCACTTCCATTCGCACCCCCCATGTGAACGGCAACAATATGTTCCGATCACACACGAAAATTTAGGGATGTAAGTGCTACAAAAGAAATTGTATGATTTGCCGCGAGACTCATATGAGGCTCATACTACGAAACATGCTGGACTAAAGCGGGCTTTTACATATAAAGTGTGCAACTATGGCTCAGAACCTATGAAAATCGAATTGAACAAGTGAGACAGTCACGAGGCCTCGCTCATTATCCACTCAAAAGAGCATCGCTTTGATGTAGATCCGAACTGGTGACTTCCACGTAGATGTCGCATCGGCAACTGACTTCACACTTCTCAAAAGATGTAGGTTTTGATTTGGATACACTTACAGAACGGCAAGTCGGAGAGACAGTCGGTGACTGTCTGCCTTCCATTATGCTCATGGTATCAAATCGTCAATCCGATGATTTGCAATGATACACTTACAGCGTTTCAGGTCAGATAGACATCCGGTGAATGACTTCCTCCCTGGTTTGCATGGTATCCTCATAGTCGTTCAAAGAAATCACCACTGGCGATAACCTCTCCATCCACGATGATCCCAGCTGCCCTGAGCATCCCGCCGATCATCTTCTCCCTTCTTGGACTTTCCCTTGGACTTGCTCTTTCCCCTCCCCTTTTCAGAAGGTTGAGGTACTTCGCGACGTTCTTGCGTTAGCGCCGGCCTCCAAGATGTTCCAGATTGGCCTCCTCCTTTGGAATGTCCTCGGGATGATGAAGAAGTTGTACCTTCTGCTGCATGTGCGTTGGCGGCAAGATCTTCCTGCAAAGCTTGCTCAAACACATCGGTAGCACTGGATGGTGATTTATCATGTGGTCTGGCTTTTGGAGCAGCCTTCGCCTTGCTCTCCTCTGCTGATGAGGGCCCGAAACTCTTAGGTGCTGTTGAAGGTTTTGGCTCCTCACTTGGTGCTGACGACGGCTTGGCCTCGGTTCTGGGTGTAGATGCTGGCTTTGCCTCAGCTCTTGACGAAGATGCTGCTTTCGCTTCAGACTTAGTCGTTGATGTTGACTTAGCTGTTGCCTTGGCTGCCTGCTTCTTCTTGCCCTGAATTTCCTTGGCCCTATCTCCAAAGCCTAGACGATCGGTAAGAGCTTGAACATGCTTCTGTTCTACCACGCTCATCCATCTCTCTGTATGTCCAATGTTGGGATTTCTGGCCATTGACTCTACGACATTCTGAGCGTGTGGGGGCAACCTGATCTCATGTTGATCAATGATCAGCAGAATAGACTTCTCCCATTTGCTCTTCATTCTCGAGTACATGATGTCCAGAGGATCGATCACCTTGTGGTTGGGTGATGTAACGTCGGTTCTAAAGTAAGAATATGTCCGACAACCATAAATCGCATGGATGCACTTCTGTACCAATTCAGTCATTGCGCTGGCTTTCTTCGCTTTCAACTCCTCAAGCTGGACGTCAGTCAAGTTGGTGGAGTATTCGAAGTTGCCATATTCCTTCTTGAAGGAGTACGGAGTATGACCAAATGATAGGATCACGAGTGCCACCTTGCAAATGAATTGCTCTCCTCTGAATCGGTGCCAGGCCTCCTCAATCGTAATCTTGTTTTCGTTGGCAAAGATTCTCATCATGTCATCTGTTGGATCCAATGGTCTCCCATCGTCATCGATTTCAGTGAAATCCTCTGTACCGAACTTGCTTATCACATCCAGACGCTTCCTTTTCCAATTTGCTTTGAAGTCGGTAAGGCTGGTGCAATAGTAGCTCTTGTACATCAGGGAGATCATGTTCAGCACACATTTGACCACATACCTATCCATCAAACCCGATGCATTCATGGAGACGTCCTGACAGTAGGCTCTCTCTTGATGCGCATAGATTCGAGGTTCCGGTACTCGACAATAGATGGGGAGATCTTCGTTGTCTCTTCCTTCTTCGGGATTGAACTCGGTCGCTCCATGCTGTGCATAGTATCCCGGTTCATCACGATCTGTCGGTCGATTCGCCTCCGGATGTAAGTCGTCGGTGACGTCTTCATCCTCGGGCTCACCATCTTGACGTTTCTTCCCCTCATATTGTTGTGTGCTCCTCTGGATCTCGATGATCACGTTTCGTTCGTCTTCATCTTCTGGATCAGAATCACGATCGTAGTCGATCTCGTCCTCATTGAAAGATGGGGTCTCGACATTGTCACTCTTGAAGTTTTCTGCACCATCAGACGGTTTGGAAGGATCTAGATTGTCCATGTCCTCGTCGTCGTCAGCTGCTTCAGTTTGAGCGATGTCTTCTTCCCAAGCCTTTCTGATCTCGTCCATAGTGGCCTGGTCCAAGATATCTTGATCATCATCTTCAGGCTCCTTCTCTTCCTTCTTTTCCTCTTCATCGTCGCTCACAAGATCAACGGGTGAATCGGAAATGACAGTGTTGCGAATACCACACGAGAGTAGCCTGCCTTGACAAGATAGACACACGGACAAAGATGAAGAAGTCAAATGCATACATGATGGACACAAAATATTGCCATCCACGTTGCGATACCCTTCACATGTTCTGGAGATGATTTCGTCCCAAGTTTCCTCACTGATGGAATCCTCGATCAGCTCTCCATTGTCATCGAATTGTACTTCATCGATAAGGGACACGAGCTTTTGGACGTTGTCATCTGTCGCCGAGGCTGACTTCGTGACTTCGTCGGCTCTCTCGAGGATGGTATGCTTCTGAGCAACCCAAAGTCCATGACGTGCCGCTAGAACAACTTGCTCTCCAGTGCTTCCCAGCAGGAGTCTCCTCCATGCCTGAACGTAGTCGTCCCAATACCAAGCACCTCGTACACATCTCCATGGAACTTCTCTAAAACAACAGTGTAGGAATTCTCCGAAATTCTTCCCACAAGCTTCCTCAAAGTCATGATTGGAACATAAAGGCAAACGGGCATTCCCACTCTTGGCCATCTTGATCTCAGAATCTTTGATGATCGATCATCCCACGGCGCAGCAAAGTGGTTGAAGAAAACACTACCTCTATATCCCTCCGTTCCACCAGGGACAATTCCTAGTTTCATGATTGACTCAATATTGGAAAGCGATGTCATGTGAAAGCTTCCTCCAAGCTGCATTGCCACATTCTCTGGAATGAGATGTGAAGTCCACACAGGATATATTGACACATCCTCTTCAAGAACAGTCTCTCTTCCAGAATTGTGAGAGGCAACAGCTCGAATTGCACAAGGAACGATCCAACGTTCATGCTTCAGAAATGACGGTGCATCTGTGCTATAATACATGAGGTTTGCCCAGTATTGCCTTTCCTCTTCGAGTGAGACATCCTCCCTTGAGATACGAATGGCGGCAATCTGATAGCGTACTCTGTTCTGCAACTTCTTTGCATGCCACATCGCCTTGCATAAATACTGGTATCGCTCTGTCTTGACATCTTGACGACGCCGATCACCTGAGATAGTACTGATATCGACACCATCGTTGAAGACATGGTCATATTCCAGGATCTCATCGATGTTCACCCATCCACCCTCATTGCACTTCGGGGACACATGAGGTTTTCGACCGCGGTGCGATTGAATCCCATTATGCCTTCCCACTCCATGCCTGAGTAGTCTATTGAGTCTATGGCTAACCTCGTTGACCCGCTGACTCTCCTCGCTGAACTTGTCGATGCGAGTTGCTGGGTTCATCTTTGGTGGATCCGTGAAAGTTGCATCTCTCTTCGGTCCATTCCAGTACTCCACATAGAATGTAACTCCATACTGTGGAATTATCTCGATGCTTCCTCTATCGCAAGTCACCTCAATCTGCCGATATCCAACCTTTTGAACTTGTTGTGGGTCAGGAGCAAGGTCCTTCACTTTGGGCATCTTTATTCCGAGTGCTGCAGCCTCCTGGATAAGTGCATCAAGTTCCCACTTTCCATTAGGACCTGATCTATCAACCCTGTGATTTGCGACCCTGTACTCTCCTCCTTCTTTGTCATCGGCAATGTCAAAGGTCGACGGGCTCTTTGAATCTGGTGACGAAACTGGCGTTCCCAAAGGCCTTCTTGGTTGCCTCGACCGCTTTCGCGTATTCCTCTTTTGCAGAGTCTGACGAGTGTGGTCTACCTTTGGCTCTCGGAGAGTGAGGTGGTACCTTACCTCCTAGTTCCGGCTCTTCTTCGGGAAGTTCAATATCTTCATCATCCACATCCATGTAGTCCTCGTCTTCGACGTCTCTGGATGACTTTGCTTTCCTCTTTCGGCTTTCAACATCACGTCGGATGATTGCCTTGTCGTCCTCGGTGAAGCACTTGCGCATAGTGTCCTCCATGTGAGAGAATGAGTTCATCAATTCGTCCTTCTTCTCAGTGTTGGGACAAATAGCCAGGTGATGTTGGTTTGAACCACAACAATAGCACACCTTTTGGCTCACTGCGCGTGCTCTGACCCTTCTGAGGTTGTCATAGGCGGTTTTCCAGTTGGAAGCGGTTGCTGTACCTTGCCCACTGCGCTTGGCAGCTCTTTTCCGTTCTTCAGTATCTGGATTCGATGTCGGGTAGTGCGACCATGTTTTCGTCGGGGATACTGAACGACCTTCCCCATCCTTGTAGTCTTGCGGATCAAGCTCAGGCGTAGGTGGTTCAGGCTCCTCGACTCCTGGAGTGGTACTCGCAGGGTCGGCTTCGCCATCCTTCATCTCTACATCAGGCTCTTCCGTAGACGTTCTTTTGGGCTCTGGGGCTATGGCCAGTCGTACCATTCTCCTGAACTCTGGTCTGGTAGCATACCTGGACATGACGGCATCGATACAGGCTTGTTCTTCAGCTGTAACATGGAGCCCTGAAGGTTTATTCCTCTTGGTGTTGTCATTGATTGATTTTCGGCTCGCTGCATAGAAGTGAAGAAAAGAC